GAGTGCTTTCCTTATAGCAACCTTGTGACAGGGTAGTGCGAGGATTAGAGGATGAACCTAAAAAGAGACTTGCCCTAGATCACATAGCTAGTGTCTGAATTTAGATTTGAACCCAGGTCTTTTGATGTCAAGTACGAAGCATTTGCTGCTCTAGTGTGTCAACTGGACTTCGTTGTCCTTTGTGTAAAACCCAAGGAAGGGCAGGGCCCCTCTGATTTGATTGCCTCTTGAAAACATCAGGAACCTCGTTGGTAAGAGGAGCTAGGGCAGGGGCAGCCTGGGTCTGTGTGTCACAGTGCAGTGGGATGATGAAGATTAATGCTCACCATACTGAAGAGCAGTTGCAAGAGGATGGCTGTGGGGTGGCCAAGAGTGCTCGAGAGAGGGGCAGCAGCCTGGTTTTCCAGATAGGGGAGTAGAGATGCAGAAGGCTGAATGAGACAGATGAATGGGAAACATGGCTTTTGGACAGACATCCTTAAATGGTAGGAGCCAGAAGGAGGAAGCCCTCTCCTGGGTAGGAGAAGGTAGAAACAGAGAACGTTGTTCAAGGAAAATGTCATTTCATCATATCCTTTCCCTGCTCTGAAACTATCTGTGGTTCCCCCTTGTCTACAGGATGTAGTCCAGACTTAGCCGGTCATCCAAAGCTCTCCAGAATCTCTCTAACCTTTGGCCTCAGCCTTACTTTTCATTACTCCCTTAAACACTCCTCCTACTTCTGCCTGTCAGTGTAGTCTCTGAGCCCATCACACACCCAGCCTGTTGCTTCCTCTCTCTGTTTTACCCCCACTGGAAATATCTTTGCTCATCACCTATTTAAATCCTTCAGGTTCCATTAGTAAATCTTCCTCAGTAAGTGGTTGAATTTGGAACTATGCCCAAAGGGCTATAAAACTGCATACAGTTTGATCCAGCAATACCACTGCTAGGTCTGTACCCCAAAGACATCCACAAAAGGGAAAAGGCCCTATATGTACAAAAATACATTTATAGCAGCTCTTTTTGCAGTAGCTAAGAATTGGAAATCAAAGGGTTGTCCATCAGTGGGGGAGTGGCTGAACAAGTTGTGGTGTATGATTGTAATGGAATATTATTGTGTTATAAGAAATAACAAGCAGGATGATTTCAGAAAAACCTGGAAAGACTTACAGGAACTGATGCAAAGTGAAGTGAGCAGAACCAAGAGAATGTTGTATACGGTGATAGCAATATTGTACAGTGAAGAACTGTGAATGACTTAGCTATTCTCAGTAATACAATGATCCAAGACAATCCCAAAGCATACTATCCACCTCCAGAGAAAGAATTGGTATTGATTGAATACAGACTGAAACATGCTTTTTTCACTTTCTTTCATTTTTTTCTTTTATTCGAGTCTTCTTGTACAAAGTGACTAATATGGAAATGTTTTACATAATCACACACATATGACCTATGTCTGATTGCTTACCATCTCAGGGAGGGGGGAAGGGAAGGAGGGAGGAAAGGATAGAATTTGGAACTCAAAACTTTATGTAAAAATATTTAAAAATTTAAAAAAAAGAAATAACTACATCAAGTTATTAAACTTTGCTGTTAAGTGAGTGTAAAAAGAAAAAAGAAAATGTTTAGCTTATACATAAATTCTGCATTCACTTTTTAAACAATAAAAGGAAGTGGAGAGTATGAAAAAAATATAAGTGGGCCTGTAGGAATCTGGAGTCATAAGAATTGGGTTTGAATCCTGTGAAGGGATTGGGTGAGTTGATTCTCTAGGGTATTTTCCAACTTTATATCCTGTGATCTAAGGAACCCTTCCTATGGGAACTCAAAGCCCTGACTTCTTTGGACAACTGAGCTTACACCATCTTGTGATATCCTCATTTTATATTGTTTAAAATTCCATTTGTTAGTTATCTTTCCCAGTGAAGCCATTGTTTCCTGGATGTAAACAGTGACCAAGTCGTGGCAGCTTTATTTACCTTTCTAGTGTCTCCTGTAGCCGTCCACTACTTTCAACCTCTCAATCGTTGCCCAGCTCAGGCCCTCATTACCCTATGCCCACCCTAGTGTGTGGTGTGTGTGTGTGTGTGTGTGTGTGTGTGTGTGTGTGTGTGGTGGTAGTGGTAATAGAATTACAGAGTCATACTTTTTAGTGTCGGAAGGAATCTTAGAGATCTTATGGTCCAACCTTCTCATTTTACAGATTGGGAAACTGAGTCCCAGAGAAGGGAGATAACAGCCATGATGACATAGCTCCATAGTGTCAGAGCCAGGGCTACAACTCCAGCACCTAGTTCAGTTCTTTCCACTCTACCATGGCTGCCTACGGTCTCTCTCCACCCTCCCCTCCCTTCCCCCTGGAACAATCCATCCTACAGATTAATCTTTCCAAGGCCTAACTCTGATCATTATATCCTCTTGCTCAAAAGCTGTCATTGTCTCCCCCTTGCTTAAAGAACAAAGCCCAAACTCTTAGTCTGGCATTCAAGGCTCTCCACAATCTGACCTTGGCCTCATCTCACAATATTCCCCATAATCTACAATCCCCACCCTTTCCCAGTTTCGTGCATTTTCTCATGTCGAAGTCAGGATAGCATAGTGGAAAGAATGCTTTACTAGGAGTCCAGTTTGAGTTTCGGCTCTGATAGGTATGATTTACTATGGGTAAATCACTTCCTGTCTCTGACGGTCTCTTAATCTGTAAAATGGGCATCACTGTCCTTGTACTTCCTCACAGGGCTGTTGTTCCTCATCCAAAAAAAGAGGAAACAGAGTAAAAGGGAACAAAGTTTAGGGTATATTTGGGGTACTGGGTCATTGACATTTTCTGTAAGGCAGAAGGTAATGTGGTTGGGAGAGCACTGAGAAGCAGTCAGTTCCACCATTTAATAGGCATGTGACCTGGGCACATCACTTCCCCTTGAATTTGCCATTTATGAAATAAGAATAACGATGCTGGTACTAATGCTGTCACAGAGGGGATCGGACGAGCTGAGGGATGTGAAAATACTTTGCAAACCATAAAGTAACGTATATGGTCAGTCAGTTGGCATTTATTAGGCACCAACTTTGCTAAGCGCTAGATACATCTCAGGAATTATTACTACTCTTAATAATAAGCCCAGTTCTGCCCCAAATTCACTGAGTCAATCTGGGTAAGTCACAGCCTCCCTCTGGAACTGAATGAACACCTATAAAATGAGGAGGTTGAACTGTATAATCTCTAAGGTCATTGCCAGCTCTGACAGCTGTCATCCTATATTATCTTGGCTCTGACAGTCTTCAGTTCTGAGTCCGGGCAGGAAGGGTTGTTCCCCTGGCCTGACAGGAGAGGAGTGAGAAAGTGAACCACCCATGTTTGATGGACACTGCACCTCCTGACTCCAGGCATTTTCACTGGCTGTCCCCTATGCCTGGAATGCTCCCCCCTCTTCATCTTCACCTTCTGGCTTCCTTCAAGTCTTAGCTAAAATTTCACCTTTTTCAAGAAGACTTTTATAATCCCCTTACATGTTAGTGCCTTCCCTGTGTGATTATCTGCAATTTACCTTGTCTGCCTTTTGTTTGTACATAATTGTGCTTGCCTGTTGTCTCCCGCATTAAACTCTGGGCTCCCCGAGTGCAGGGACCGGCCTTTGCCTTTCTTTGTATCCCCAGTGCTTCGCATAATAGTAGATGCTTAGTGAAAGCTTGTTGACTTGACTCACAATGTGTCTGTGTGCTTCTCATATTCTTAGGGCTCTGTGGTTTATAAAGCCTGTGCACTGTCTCACTGAATCCAGAGGGCCACTGTTTAAATCCTACCCCTGCTACTTAACTAACTAGCTTGTGGCACATCTCTCTGGGCCTTAGTCTCCTCATCTGTAAAATGTGAGGATTGAAGGTGACATCTAAGGTGCCTTACAATTCTAAATTAATGTTCCTATGATCCCGTAAGGCTGGTCCCCAGTGACTATAGGTAGTTGGGAGATGTTTGTTTGTTTGTTTGCAAAGCTAAACTAATGAGGTGAAGAAATGTGATGGGGGTCAGACCAACAGTTTGAAGCCCAGACATCCGATGTAGGTCACTGCACTTATGAGATCCAGAGACCTAGTCAGGGAGAGCCTGGGAGATTGGGAGGAGGGAGAGGAGGCAGGTGGGCAGATTTCATCTCATCTGACTCTGGCCCTGCAACTGGCTCATCTGGGAACTGGCCTGCCAAGAGCTAAATGGGCACTTTATGTTGGGGGAATTTCAGGAAACAAGTGAGAGCCTGCAGAATAATTTTGTTGGTCTTCCACTGTTCGAGAAAAGAGCCTGGAAAATGATTCTCCATAGTTCTCTCCTCTTCAGTAATGTCTGAGGTTTTTGCTGCCATAGCTCCTTTCTACTCTAAACCTCAGATGTGTGTTCTCTAGGTCTCCTCCTATTTGGGGAATTATTTCAGGGTGATTTCAGAGTTAGCTGTGTTATGGTTCTGAGTCATAACCTGCTTCTGTCGTGGACTCACAGAACGGGCTCTGGAGGAGCCACTAGTCCAGCTCCTACCTAAAGCAGGAATCCATATTATGACATCTCTGACAGGTGGACATCCATCCTCTTGAACACTTCTGGGAACAGGAAGCTCATCACCTCATGAGTCAGCTCATGCTGCTTTTTGGTCAGCACTCGTTGTTAGAAAGTTTCTCCCCCCACATCAAACCAAGATTTGTCTCCCTTTCTCTCCTCTCTTCAACTTTGATCCTGCCTCTGCCCTCCAGGGTCAGGCAGAATGAGTCAATAATCCCTCTTCCCCGTGACAGCCTTTCAGATATTTGAACACAGCATGTCCCCCACTTTCCATCTCCTATCTGTTGGCAACCCCCACTAGTGATCTAGTGAAGCCCATCAAAAGTGGCTGCAAATGATTGACACAGATCCTCAGACTTGTACCATCCGGGCTCAGCAGCATTGGGTGACGAGGGAGCAGGTGGATTCTCTCACCTCTGTCTGGTTCTTTATAGTTGACAGAGCTCTTTTCCATCTGCCCTCTCAGCTGAGCCTCCAACAGGCCTGTGAGTCAAGGAGACAGCCTGGGACCCTCCCCATTTTACAGGTGAAGAAACCAAGACTCAGACTAAATGATCCCGCAGGTCCAGGGGCCACACAGCAATTGAGAGGCCACGCCAGGACCATAATTGAGGTGGGTTAATTTAAGTATATTTTCTTTTACACTGTACCTAGCTGTGAGCTGGTGACATTTAGTCTGGAGAAGATAACCCAGTCGAGCATGGTAACTGTCTTTAAGGTATTTGTAAGACTGCCATGAGGAATTGGTGTCAGCTTTATTTTGCTCAGCCCCAGGGTAGAAGGTTCAGAGAAGTAGCTTCCGGGGGTGAGGAACTTGCACCCTTGAGGCCACATGTGGCTCTCTAGATCCTCAAATGAGGCCCTTTGAAACTTGAAGTTTGGATTCAGTCAAAGGGCCACACTTGAGGACCTGGAGGGCCACATGTGGCCTCAAGGCTGCAAGTTTCCCACCCCTGGGACTCTATATAGGGAAAATCTCGTGCATAATTAGAGATGTCAAAAAGCAGAATGGGCCCCCGTGGGAAGCAGTTCCCTAACACTAAGGGTCCTTAGCCAGAAGCTGGATGACCAGGACTTCAGTTCATATAGGGATTCTGCCTCGGTGCCTCTGCGGTCCCTTGCAGCTCTGAAGTTCTATGATTCTGCCATCTCACTCTCCTGCTGGAGGCTCTAGGGTTGAGGCCTCTAAATAGAGAGACCAAATACTGGTGCCTTGCCCCTCAGTTAAGGAATCGTTGAACACCTTCGTTTACAGGAATACACAGAGAAAGCAGTCGGCCAAGTACCGAGTCCTTGCTGTCAGGGAACTCGAGATCTTTAGCAGGTGTTGCCTCAGTCTGTGTGGGGGGAAGGAGTCATTTCTCCACCTCAGAGATGAGGAAGCTGGGATATCCCAAGAGGTTAGGGCCTGTCTAGCCACCACAGGGTGATGATCACATGTGGGTGTGAGCCCTGGGGAAAGAAAGGATCATGTCGCTGATCCCTTCTACATGATGGCAAGTACCTTAGGCAAGTTATGACCTTGGACAACTCACTTTCCCTCTCTAGGCCTCAGTTTCTTCATCTGTAAAATGGAGCTAGTCATATTTACAGTACCCTCTCCCCCCACTTCCCGTATATAGAGTGCCAGGTAGAATGTGTTTTATAAATCTTAAAGCATCAAATACATGTTAACTATTATAAGTTATTACTCATATCACCAACCAGGGCTGGGAACATATGGCCACTGCCCTCTGCTCCCATTTATCTGGCCATGTTGTCGGTAGGTATCATACTGGGTATGAGCCCCAGCAGGTCCAGGTAACTGAGCCAGGTTCATAGAATTTAGAACTAGGGAAAGCTGATACAGAGTGAAGTAAGCTGAATGGGGAGAACCATTTATATAGTAATAACAACATTGAAAAGATGAAAAACTTTGAACTCTGATCAGTACGGTAACTCAGAGGAATCAGTCATGAAGTGTCACATAACATTCCCAAGTACAGCAGGCACTCCTGAACCAGATGAAAATGTAATTGGGAAATAGATAAAAAAATAATCAAAAACAGTAAAACATAATTGTTAATATGTGGTTTTCAAGTCAAAATATGGCCCACAGGGATCCTTCTGTTTGGTTTAATGGTCCCCATTTCTGTTTGCTTTTGACGCCAGCGCGGTAACCAGCCACGACTTCAGACATCAGGTGATGAAACCAGCTTCCCACCTGTGACAGAGAGGTGACGGACTGGAGATGCAGAATGAGACACATGTTTCTGGGCCAATGGGGGAATTTGTTTTGCTTGACTGTGCTTATTTGTTACAAGGGTTTTGATTTTCTATTTTTTTTTCCAATGTGGGGGTAGGTGGGGGGAACAGGGAGAAAAAAAAAATGCTTGTTAATTAAAAAAAAATTTGAATGGGGACAAAAAAAGAACTGAAAGAGAATTTCAAGATCAAACTTAATTTTCTTGATAGGGGAAGCTGAGACCCAGAGACAAAAAATGATTCACTCAAGGTCACATAGGCTGTGAATAGCCCAGTTCCTCTGACTCCATCCAAATCTAGCCTTCTTTTCTACTGCACCTTGCCACCTCTGAAATAGAGACAAGGTTATGTTTTAGATCAGCTGGGCACCGGCTCTCAGAGCAGGGTGAGCTGCTGGTCAGAACCCAGAGAGACAAAAATAAGTAGAAGCAAAGAGAAGGGTTCAGAGAGACACAGTTAGAAAGCAAGGCTATCAGTAGTACCGGATGGGGGAGAATAAAGCCACAAGGCAGCGGCAGGTTCCCCACAGCTTTGAAGGGATGGGAAAACTGCATTACGGACTTGTTAAAAATATTCCAGGCTCCAGTGGAGAAAGCGGCACCAGAACTGATTAGGGAATAATCATAACAGCAATTGACATTTTTAGTTTTTTTTAATTCGTGATTTTATCAGTGTAGTTCTGGTGTGAAAACTCCTTCTACCACTGCAGGTCAGCAATTCACCTGAAATTTATAGGCTTAGAGAGCTATTTGGGGGCAGAGAGGTACAATGAATTGCCCAAGGTCACATAGTTTGTAAGTGTCACAGGTGGCATTTGAAAAGTGGTCTTCCTGACTCCCAAGTCCAGTATTTTTTTTTGGGGGGGGGGATATACTATGAATGTGATGGAGGAATCTTCAGTGGTTTCCTAAGGTTGAAACTTCTTTACCTGGCAGTCACGGCCCTCTGCAGTCTGGCACCAGCGCGCCTTCCTGCTTTATCTTCTATTTGTCCCCTCAGGTACCTCATGCTGTAGCCAAACTGGACGCCTTCCCAGCTGCCACCCGCCCCTTCCCTCTGCTGGGCAGGGCCTTCCTTCTCTACGTGCTGAATCATTCCTTAGCCTTAAAAGCCCATCTCGAATGCCACTTGTTCTGTGAGGCTTTTCCCCTGCTCCCTCTGGTCTCTGACAGTCTTCTCCCTCAGACCTCACATGGCCCTTTGTTGCTTTATAATTCTTTAATGCCCATGTCCAGCACTGTTCTGTATCCCAGTTATTTGTGTTTGTGTTTTATCCTCTTAAGAGAACACAAGCTGCTTCGGGGCTGGGGTAATCTTTGTGTCTCTCCCAGCCTTTCACATAGTTCCGGACACACTGGTGGTACTTTATACACGTTTGTGGCTACAACCACTGCAAAAAAAAAGGGATGGCCTCAGGTGACTGAAAGACAGGAGCCTTCTTGATTGGCTTGGGGCTTCATTGTTGGCTGACAGTTGGCTATCAAACAAATAAATGAACTCCACCCAGAGCACCTAGCTGTGACTAGGCCCAATCTCCTGGGCGAGGTAGATCAGGCAATTTTTGGGTCAAGGCCAGGGTGGAGTGAAGGATTTATGTCTAAGGACAAGGCTATGTGAGCTGCCATGTGAGCCTGGAGAATTCTGGCAGGGTTAAAAATGTGGCCCAGGGTATTTTTATTATTATTATATTATTATTAATCTAGTAAGCTTGAAAAGAAGCTACCTAGTCAGTGGTGGGGGACTTTTTAAAAAAAAAAAGTTTTATTGTTGCTTTTTGCTTTTTAGACCAGAGTCTTTACCTTTCTTCCTTCCCCACTGAACCCTTCTTCTTCTTCTTCTTCTTCTTCTTCTTCTTCTTCTTCTTCTTCTTCTTCTTCTTCTTCTTCTTCTTCTTCTTCTTCTTCTTCTTCTTCTTCTTTTTTTGGTGAGGCAATAGGGGTTAAGTGACTTGCCCATGGTCACACTGCTAGTTAGTGTCAAGTGTCTGAGGCCAGATTTGTGAACCCTTCTTTAAAACCAAAACAGAAAAATGTAAGCTAACCCAGCCAACACAGCAACTACATTCCACACCTGTAGCCCCCAGCTTTTTACAGAGAAGAGGAGGCTAGGTTTCTTTGTCAGCTCTAGGACCATGATTGTTCATTATAATTGTTCATCAGAGTTTGACTGCTTTTTAGTGTTGTAATTTGCATTATCGTAAGTATCATATAAACTGTTCTCTTGGTTCTGCTTTCCTCACTGCATCACTTCATACAGTTCTTCCCATGGTTCTCTGAATTCTCTGTTTTCAGGGTTTCTTACACTACAGTAGTATTCTATTACATTCATATACTATAATTTGTTTCAATTTTCCCCACTTGATGGGTGCCCATTTTATTTCCAGGTTTTGGTGTTTGTGTTTTTTTTTCCCCTAGTTGGGTATACCTTCCTTATCTCTCTTTAGATGAGCTCTCCCTTAAGGTATAATTTCTGAAATTCTACTTTTCCTTTTATAAGTTGTAAATTAAATCTTCACTGAACATCAACATGTCTCAGCTGTGGTGCAAGATGGAGGTGAAATGTTGGAAGCCATGGGCATCTGATGGTGATGGCATTTGCACATAGAGATCCTTGGCTCATAGAAAGTTGAATTCAGATAGTAGGATTCCTCCTAGGAGAGGGAGTAGGTTTGAGAACTTGGAGTCAGATGAAAGTTCCTGGCTGCAAACTGGTCTTAAATATAGTGGAAAGAACGTCAGACTTGGAATCAGGGGATCTGGATTCAAATAGTAACTTCAGCCTGCTACCTGTTTGACAATGGACAAGACCTTTGTCCACTTTCTACCTAATTTTTTTTTAAAAAACAAAGGAGTTAGACCAAATGATCTCTAAGATCCCTCCCAGCTCTGACTGTCTATGTTCTAAGGGCCCTTCCAGCTCTGATATTCCATCTTCCGAGGTTTTTTCCATCTCTTGACATTGTGTTCTATGTTCTAAAATCTCTCTCAGCTCTGACATTCTTTGTTCTGTGTTCCAGGGTCCCTTATAGCTCTGATATTCTGTGTGTAACTCTTAATACTAAGAGAACATATGATATAAATATTTTTTGGCCTCTCCTTTCTTCTGCAGTTTGGACCATGGGGAGTAGCAAAAGCAAACCCAAAGACCCCAGTCAACGACGCCGAAGCCTGGAACCCACCGAGAGTGTCCTCCACAGTGGCTTCCCTGCCTCTCAGACCCCCAGCAAGGTGTCTGTGCCTGATGCCCACCGAACTCCCAACCCCCAGTTTGGCTCAGCACCTGAGTCAAAGCTTTTTGGGGGTCTCAACATGTCAGACACAGTCACCTCCCCGCAGCGTTCGGGGCCTTTGGCAGGTGAGGAGAAGCTCAGGTTTGGGTGCCTTTGGTCCTGGATTCCGTTGGGATTTAGGACTCTTAAGTTGAATCACCCAAAACTTGGTCATGGACTCACTGTCTCCCCTGGGGGTTTCTCTCACCTGGTCAGCTCCAGAAAAGGGGCCAGGAAGAGCCTTGTTGAAACTGAGAGGAATGAGTGAGTGAGAACTGGCTTTATGTGGAAGCACAATGATTTGAGAGCTTTGAGCCAGAGGACCTGGGATGGAGCCTTGGTCCTGCTTCTGTGTGACTCTGATCAAGCCATGCACATTCTCAGGACAACGGTGTCTTCTTTGGTCAAAGGAGGGGTTGGACTCACTGGTCTCTAGGGTCCTTTCTGGCACTAATAATAATAACCAGCCTTCATATATCATTTTAGGTGCCTCATAAATATTATACAATTTTATTCTCATAGCCCTGGAAGATAAAGTGCTACTGTTATCCCCCCAGTTTGCAGGTGAGGAAACTGAGGCAGAAAGAGGTTAAGCGACTCGCCCAGGGTCACAGAACTAGGAAGTGTCTGAGGCCAGATTTGAACTCAGATCTTTCTGATTCCAGGCCTAGCACTCTATCCACTGCACCATCTTTTTTGCTGTTGTTCATTCATTGCAGTCACGTCCAACTCTTCGTGACCCCATTTGGGGTTTTCTTGGCAGAGATACTAGAGTAGTTTACTATTTCCTTCTCCAGCTCATTTTTTCAGATGAGGAAACTGAGGCAAACAGGGTTAAGTGACTTGCCCAGGGTCACACAGCTAGAAAATGTCTGAGTCCAGAATTGAACTCAGGTTTTCCTGACTCCAGTTCCTGTACTCTATTCACTTTGCCACCTAGCCTTCTCGCTCTGCCTTCTAAATCCTGTGATTGCATGAAAGGAGCTGGGAAGAGTCCTTTGCCCTCATCTGTCTCCACAACTGTAATAGCGCCTGAAATTCTGCCATTAGAAATTTCTTTCTTTGGATTTAGAATGTGTATCCTCATTGACTCCTCTATTTAAATGCAGCTATCCTTGAGAGGGGCAGCAGTTGAGAGGAAACATTAGGGAGTGGAACATGGAATATGTTCCTGGGGAGATGGGGAGGGAAGGCTAGAAAGCAGCAAGGTGAGAAAATTTCCTACTGGGGTCCCTTTGCTGCCTCAGTCATGATTTTGCCTAAAGCCAGCCTCGGGATCAAGGGAGAAGAGCTGCAAGTTATGGACCTTTGCCTCTTCCTGCCTCTCAGACCCTTTGGATGGTTCCTTCCTTAGGCCTTTTGGGGTACCCTGCCCCATCTGAAGGAGAAAGAGATAACAGCTCCAAGATTTCCATAGCCACCCTGGATCATGGCCTGTCTGCCAGTATTGATCCTGAGGCTGGTTTTAGGCAAAATCATGACTGAGGTAGCCTGTATGTATCAGAGTTGAAATTTAAACCAGGTCTCCTGTCTCTAAGCACAGAATACTTTGCAATACCCCATGCTGCTTTTAAAATCACTGGAGGATCCATGTGGTGAAGTGGAAAGAGGGATGTGGAGGCCAGAGATTTTGGTTAGAGTCCCAGCTCTAACACTTAATAGCCATGAGAACTTGGGCAAGTCAGTTTATTTCTCTAAGGTTCAGTTTATTTGTTTTTGTTGTTCTTTTGAAACATTTAGAAAAGAAGTCTAGGGCAGTATATAGAAAACTGCCCTCAAAGTTAGGACGATCTGGTTCAAATCCTGCCTCTGAAACCTATTGGCTGTGTGACCACTTAACCTCTTGGTGTCCTCAAAGGGGGTAGCTAGGTGGCACAGTGGATAGAGCTCTAGGCCTGGAGTCAGGAAGACCTGAGTTCAAATATGGCCTCAGATACTTACTAGCTGGGTGACCCTGGGCAAGTCACTTAACCCTGTTTGCCTCAGTTTCCTCATCTGTCAAATGAGCTAGAGAAGAAAATGGCCAACCACTCCAGTATCTTTGCCAGAGAATCCCAAATGGGGTCACAAAGAATTGGACATGATTGAACGAGAAGAACAACAAAGCCCCCAAGGGACTCTCCAAGACTCTCATGTGAGAACAAGTATTGATCTACATTGGTAAAAGAAGTTTACGCTCAGGAAGCTCCCTATACCAATGAAATCAGAGACCTGAACTAAAAAAAAATAACTTTAGTGAAATAATAAGTCATAAAACCCTATTTCTTTGTGTCCCCTTTTGATTCCTGTATTATTTTTGTCAGATGGTTACTATTATCTTTTCCACACTCACGGTTCATGTATATATCGTTTTGACACTGCTTTCTTTGTTTTTTTTTTTATCACTTTGTAGTCTTCATTTTTGTCATTTGTAGGGGAGCCTGTTTCCTTTTCTGTAAAACTTAAAATCTTGTTTTTACTACCTGCCTCCCAGGGTCATTTTGAGGAAAGTGCTTGTCATACTTTAGGGTGGCATAGAAGTGGAAGTGCTTCTCCTTGGCAGCACCTCTGCCCATGGCCTCGTTCCCCTTGTTTAGATTTTGAAAGGTTGTTTCAGTCTCTTCTTGAACACCCTCTTTCTGTGCCATGTTGAGACTAGACCGACCTTTGTTTGGGGCTCTGGTACCAAGAAGAGGTTGGGAGTTGGTGCTGCCTGAAAGGATGGCCCCCGACCCCAGCCTGAGATGGGACTGGCTGCGTCTACTTAACTTGTAGCCCTTGATAGCCTGTCTGTTGTCTCTGCGGCAGGTGGGGTGACCACTTTTGTGGCCCTGTATGACTATGAATCCCGCACTGAGACAGACCTGTCCTTCAAGAAAGGGGAACGGCTGCAGATAGTCAACAACACGTGAGTGTCTCCTCTTACTCCCTCCCAGCTGCTCTGAGTCCCCTGGGGAGGGGAGGTTCAGGGCCTACCTGGAATCCCACATGTCAGTAAGTAGCCCCTGTGAATCCAAGCTTAGCTGTTGTTTCCCTTTCTTATGGGGCTCAATGCCTGACTGTTAATGTGGGGAGGGGATGGGTTTTTTTTTTGTCTAGGTTGGGATTTTAGGGCGTCAGAAACTTTGGTTGTGGCTTGTTCATGGGTTGCCTCAGTTTCCTCATCTGTAAAATAGCTGGAGAAGGAAATGGCAAACTACTCCAGGATCTTTCCTGAGAAAATCCCAGATGCTCGGGTTGTTGCCCTGGGGCACTCTGGACTTGGCTCCCATGTGCCTTAACCCTAGGTGTAGCTGATGAGGGACTCTGGAGAATCCAGGGTTGGCATGGGAAGCATGGGTGTCAGTGATCTAACATTGTCTCAGCCTTGGTGAAAGGGATGGCCCCTGCCAAAAAGGTCAGGCATAATTGGGACTGCAGCCTGAGCTGAGGCGTAGATACAGGAGCCACAGAGGGCAGAGGAGAGAAGTGAGAGGGCCCAGGCCCGGGCTCAGGGGAAGGTTACTTTCTAACCATCTTTAACATGATTCATCTCTACTTCCCGATCTCTTCCCTACCTGGAAAAGGAACTTGGAAGCTGTGCTTGCTCTGGCTAGATATACTCCTTCCTAGGAGCTGATTCTGGCCAACAAGAAGCCTCTGGTAGTCAACAGCATGAGTCTCTGAAGCTGAGCAATGTCCACTGGCAATGCAGAGCCCGCCTTGTGCCCTGACTATGCACACTCACCTGGGATGGAGGGCCCAAATATCTCAGCCCAGAGTGGGGAGGGCTTAGTGCCAAAAGGCCACTAGATAATCCAGTCCCTGAGCCTGAAGAAAGGGTCCCGGGTGGGCTGAGGAAGGGAATTGGACTTTGAGCCTTAGCCGGGCAGACTTAAGGGGACCTTGCTTCCTGGGAGCCATCCTCTGCTCTAAGTGACCCACTTTGCTTCCCAACAGCTTCTAACCCTCCACAGTGCTGATCTCAAGCCCTTTCTGTCTCTTTCTCCTCTCCCTTGCTACATGCTTGCGCTTAGGAGAAAAGTGGATGTCAGGTGTGTACCTTGCTCTTTTCTCATCTTGGTTGGGGGTGGTCAGCTGGCCTGTGGGGGAGGCAATTGGTGCTTTTGCTAGTGGCGTTTGATGCTTTGGGGCGGCCCCTCATGGAGCCCACCTGTTCTTGTGTTTGCATGTGCTTACCTTGCTTCATCCAGGTCTGGCTTTCCTTCATCCAGAGCAACTAACGCCCTCCTATTTTTTTGCCTGGGCTTGCAGCTGTCTTTTTATCTTCTCATCCTTTCTCTTCTTCCTTTATCTCCTTTTTCTCCTCTCCCATCCCCTGTGACTCAAGCTGCTTGCATCCATTCTCAGTATAAATATCAGCCAGCCCTGGGTAGGAGAGTACTAGGGGGGCAGTGACTGCCACATTTCCATGTATAAACCTATCCTAGCTCTTTAGTCTGTGCATTCTAGATTTTGCAAGTGGCCTACTCTGTGAGTTTCATTCCACTTCAGCCCCCAGGTGCTACCCAGGGCCTAGCTGAGATGGAAGCCTAGTGACATCCATGCATCCATCCATGCATCCATCCATGCATCCATCTATCCATGCATCCATCCATCTATCCATCCATCTATCCATCCCTTATCAAACCTTTACTTAGCACCTACCATATGAAAGGCTCTGTAGATACTAAGATGAATAAAGCATAGTCCTTTCCTCCAAGGGCCTTACAATGTACTTGAGGAGAGGGGGTGCGCACGCACGCTCATGCGCGCACGCGCGCACACACACACACACAGAACAAGCAGTCCATGCTAATTGTTGAGTGAAAGCCACTTTAGAAGCAGGGATGGTCAGATGAAGTCTCCAGAGGAGGTAGGATTTCATCTGGTTCTTAGAAGGTGGTCAGAATTCCAAGGTTTTGAGGAGGTGGGGAATTATTCTAAGCCTAGGAAAACAGTAGGACTGATGACATAAAGGTGAGAATGTGTAAGAAATATTTAAAGGGAATTTTGGAGATGGACCTGGTGGGATAGAAGGTTTTTGTAGGGAAGTAGTGGGGGATGAGGCTGGGAAGGTAGTCTTGGGGCTAGGTTTTGGAGGACCAGAGGCAAGATTTGGTAATGGTTTCGGTTTTATCTTACAGATAATAGGGAGCCATAAAAGGTTTAGACAGGGGAGGGACATGATCAAAGTTAAGGAAGATGACTGACAGCATATAGAGTTTTTGTAATACTTTGAGCTAGAAAGGATCTTAGAGTTCATCTAATCTAACCTCATATTAAAGAGGAGGAAACTGTGGCCTAGAAAAATGAAGTGGCTTTCTCAAGGTCACTAGGTAGTAAAGTAGTAAGTGGCAAAGCCAGGATTTGGATCCAAGTTCACTGACTCCAAAACCATTTCTCTTTTCTGCATGTAGGCCTGAGGATAGAGTGTGCAGGTGGGTCATGACTCTAGTTCAACCTATGAAATTAAGAAGGTCCTGTAATGCTGGAGGGAGGAGGCAGAGACTGACTGGCAACAGTTAGACCTCCTTATCCTCCCTGGAACTCTAGAGGCAGAAGGGAAGGAAGGAGAAGGGAAGAAGAAAGAAAGGAGGGAAGGAAGGAAGAAGGGGAAGGAGGGAGAAAGGAAGGAAGGAATAAAGAATGGAAGGGAGGAAGAAAAGAAGGGAGGGAAGAAGGAAAGAAAGGAAGGAAGGGTTGGAGGGGGAAAGAAAGAAAAGAAAGGGAGAGAGAAAGGAAAGAAAAAAGAAAGGGAGGGAAGAAGGAAGGAAGAAGGGAAGGAATGCTAGAACAATGTACTAAATCTAATGTGATAAAGTTTAGTAGGAATAAATGTCAAATTCTGCATGTTAATCAACTCTACAAGCACTGGATGGGGTAAGCATGATTAGATAATGATTTCTGTGAAAAATATTTGAAGGTTTTGGGGGACTGCTGGCTCAGCATGAACTAGCAACATGGTGGTCAAGATACTGAGGCTGCATTAATATATATAGAGATATATAGGTTTATATATCTCTGTATCTGTCTAGATCTATCTGTCTACAAATAGATCTCTCTCTCTCTCTCTCTCTCTCTCTCTCTCTCTCTCTCTCTCTCTCTCTCTCTCTTGCTTTCTCTCTCTCATTCTCTCTTGCTCTCTCAGCCAGAGCAAGGGAAATGAGAGGGTCTAAGCAGGGTAGGCCCCAGGGGCACTCTCTGGAGTTTTGTGGGTTCAAGCACCTCCCTCTAGGAATGACGTTGACCAGCTGAAGTGTGTACCGAGGCTGAAAGAGGGGGTAGGTAGCCAGGAGACTGGAGAACATGACTTGTGAGGATCAGTGAAAAGAAGCAGGGATACTTATTCTAGAGAAGAGATGACTGAGGAAGGACCTGAGAGCTGTTTTCAGGTATTTGAAAGACCTTCATATGGAAGAAGGATTCAACTTTTTCAGCTTGGGCCCAGGTGGCTGAAATAGGAACAAGAGGAAGATTCAGGGAGGTCGATTTTCACTTGATTAGAAGGAAAAAATTCTGAACCGTCATAGACCTCCAGAAGTAGAATGGACGGCTTTGAGAAGTAGTGACTTCCCCATTTCGGGAGGTCTTTGGGCAGAAACTATATGACTACTTGTTGGGAATGTTCTAGAGAGGATTTCTGCTTAGGAGCACATTGGATGAGAAACCTTCTAAGATTGCTTCCAGCTCTAAGGTTCTGTGATTCTAATGGCACCTCAGCCCTCAATTCCTCCTAGCCATATCCTCCCTCAGTAGTGATCTCCATGGTTTTTCCCAAGGACATTTCTGTGCAGCCCATATCCACTCCTACCCCCAACATTCTCCTGGCTTTGATTCCTATGTGGCTTCAAACCCAGAGCCACTTTAAGCCAAGAATCCATGCTCACAGACGCTCTAGCTGATCACAAAAGACAGGCTTCTTGGAATTCACAAGACAGTGGGGAGCTTGCCACTTTTCCCACCCTTGCTGTATGTGATTCCCAACTTTGGTTACAGCCACTTTTATCCAGTTCCAAAGCTGCCTCTGTTCTTTCCTCTATCTCTCTACCCCCATCTCTCTTTCTCCATCCCATCTCTACCCCTCCTCAGCCTTCCTTGCAGCTGTCGTCAAAGTTTTGCAGGCCCAGGTTGCTACTGGAAAATGTAAAGTGATTGAATACAAGGAAAATACAATAAATCCTATGAAACCAACTTTACCTCAGGCATCCCATTGGTTGAGAGGCCCTGAGTCTCCAGATGGGGATGCTCCATGACCCAGTTGTTGAACTGGGCTTTGGGTTTTACAGAACTCAAGTCTCTAGGATATAATCAGCCCTGGCTTAGTAGATAAAAGTTGGTTATGCAGCTAGGACACTGGAGCCTGTAATATAAAATCCAAATCCTCTTTTCTTCAATGGCAAGGAGAGCTGTTAAAGAAATAAAAAATATAGGGAACCATAAAAAAACCATATGTCTCTCAAGACATAACAAGATATTAGAGTTACAGGTTACCTGCTCAACATGAACATGCACTAGGCAGTCACCTGTGTGGTACTCAGAAGTTTCTCCTGTCCCCAAATATTTCCCCCACCCATAGGTCCCAGTGCCTAAAAGTCTAACACGAATGGAATTTGCATTAATTACTTTAGGCTAAGTATTGTCCCCTGTAGAATCCTTTCTCAAAAAGTCAGATTCCTCTGGGAGGGGCAGCACATTCAAGGCCCTGAGCCCTTCTCTGGGTAAGCATCAGAACTATTATTAGCAATTTGAGTGTTGAGGGCCAATAACACAAGACACACCCTCACATAAAATTTGTAATCCACCATATTAAAAAAAAGTGTATATAAATATAAAAGGTAATTAAGACAAATTCAGTTGGCTAGGAGGAGGAATTAGTTACTACAGTGGTTTTTATTCTGCTGAAAGAATGCATAGATTAAGTTCTTGTTCCTTCTTAATTTTGGTGTCCTGGGGCAAAAATTCTAGTCTTACCACCTTAGTTATGGCTCTGTCCAAGAAACCAAGTCTAGTGACTTAGATAATTGCTAACTTAACTTAAGAAAATAAATTGCTAACTTAATCATTTTGCACCAACCAGCCCTTCAAGAAAGCAGAGACTTGGGGCAAGGCTTTAGGTTGGGGGTAAAGGTGGGGGCTCCTCCAGAATGTTAGGCCTCTGGGGTTTCTCCTTGATTTTCTTTGGGGTTATCTACTCTGGGTCTGACTGAGTCCAGGCTAGGTCCCCAGGAGTTGGGGCTCCCCACTGTGCTTGAAGAGACTTAGAAGCATGTCTGTGTGGCCTTGTGATATCTGGTTGGGCCTTGCTTTGCTTTAAGCATTTGTGTCTCAGCATTTCAGGGTCCTATGACCCCTGCAGTCCTCCTGCCTATAGAACTTAATCCCCTTCACTGACAGACTCCCTTCTGTTCCTTGCTCCCCTAGCCTCTGTATCTGACAGCTGGAGCTGGACACTCTGCATAGCTTCCTTCTTCCTCCTATGTCACCGACAAACCCATTTTCTCTCAGTTTCTAGTCTTTGAATCACAAGGCCAGGAGTAAACTCTTTGGGGCTTCCCCATTCTTGTGAGCCCCTTATGGAAGGCCTCTAAAACCCAGGCTTGGCACACAGTCGCTGCTGGCCTAGCGGCTGTTTGGGTTGGATTTGTACCAGCCAAATGAATCAGAACTAGGCCACCCCAAAAGTTACTTGTTAGAATCATCAACCCCGATGTCCAACTCCAATTATTTGTTGGCAAGCGTGAGTCACACCATCTGATTGTTAGCTTTTCAGGCTAAAATGATTTATCTGTTCATGGCCTGGCCTTTATATAACTGGAGATAGTGCTTCTGACCCACCATGAGGAGGGGCTACTCCTGATTTGGCCTCAGAATGAAGATGGGGGATCAGTAGAGTGCCGTCTATACTGTCTTACCTGCCGCTTCTTTTTGACTAGAGATCTACATGGATGGAATTACTGGTTGAGGTTAGGGGTACAGCCAGTGTTAATTGGCCTGCAAAGGACCTGTGACTTCAACATCAGTAACATTATAGTATGAAGTGACAGTGGCTAACATGGGTTGACCATGTAAAATGTGCCTGACTTTCCCCTCTGCTGTGGATGCAGCCTGTAGGACCCTACATCTAGTGCAAATAACAGGCTTTAGGATTGGCTCTGGGTGGATTGAAGAATACCCCTTGTGTCTTTAGTTCTTTTCTTTAGGCCTCTCAGAGAATCTTACAGGAACATTCTTCTATGAGCCCTTAAACATGTCCCCATAAACATAGGGCAAGTGAAACCTAGAGAGGCTTCTAGAGAGGGATAATTGGTGTTCCTTTGACTGGAAACCATCCACCAACATAGGGCTCCTGGCCTTTTAGCCCAGGGAACTCAGAATCAAATATCTTATGAAGTAGAAGCCCTAAGAGCTCCATTTATTCTATGTTCATATTTTTTGGGGGGCCGGGGGGTGAGGCAATTGTGGTTAAGTGACTTGCCCAGAGTCACACAGCTAGTGAGGCCAGATTTGAACTCAGGTCCTCCTAACTCCAGGGCTGATGCTCTATGCACTGCACCACCTAGCTACCCAAGCTCCATTTATTCTAGCAAAACAGTCATTGATTAGATAATGAGTTCTTCACCTGGGGTCCTTGAAGGCAATAAAAAATTCTCCCTTTATTTTCACTAACCTCTAAGTGAAATTTAGCATTTCTTTCAGTTATTTAATAAATATTATTCTGAGAAGTGGTCCATAGGTCTTACCAGGCTGCTAACAAGGCCCATGACACACAAAAGGATAAAACCTTCTGGATTAGAACCTGAGTTTCTGGTTAGGAATTGCTTTTAGTACATTCTTTGGAATTAGAATAGAATTTGTGAGCTGGTGGATTATTGAATCTCTAGTGCTTGCATTTTAAGTTAGGCCCCCAGAGGGGAAGTGATTCACCCGAGTGCCCAGTGAATCAGTAGCAGAACCAGGGCTGGGAGCTCTGGTCTTTTGACTCATAGCCTAGGGATCTTTCTGCCACACCACACTACATCAATGGTGGTGGGTCTTTACCCTCTGAAGGTAGATTTTGTACATGTAAACAGCTAAGCGTAATGAATAAGGTGGCCTCTCCCATCAGATAATGCCATTTATTACTTAAAACAAAGTGTGATTATGGAATAGAGGCTGGTTTTGTGTGCCTCATCACAAGATCATCATACTAGAATAAACCAGTCCAACCCTTTTGTTGTACAGATGAGAAAACAGAGACTCAGTGAGGTTGGAGGATTTGCCGAATAAGTGGGATTTGAACCCAAGTTCAAAACTTCTTAGCCCAAGTTCGGCACTCTTCAGGCCACCACATGGCTCCAAACACCATTTCTCATGGAAATAAATGTTCAGCCTCCTGAGGGGACAGCACGCCCTCAGGTGTACAAACTCTGGTGGGTAAATGTTGGAAAATGTCTCCATATTCCGTAGCATTACCTCAGACACTGGTCAGCCTGGCCTTGGGCAGAGCCAACTTCCTGTATTAGAATTTCCCAGGTCTGGGCTCAGCAAGCACAGAAACCTCACACCTGGATATATTTCCTTGCCCAGGCCTGGCCAGGCTAAATCATACCGGATTGGTGAGTCTGAAAACAGGTATGCTCCCCTTTGTGACCTCCACCCCCTCCCCCATCAGACTGATACAGGCATTCCCTCCCTCCACCCCCTTCCCCCATCCTTGATATTCTAAAAATGCCTAGAAGCTGACTCATTGGGGGCCAAGTAAAGGGAGGCCTTAAATTCCAAGCTGCAGACTGGCTCAGACTAGACTCTTGTCCATCATTCCATTTGGGAGGGGCTGAGCTGGACAGATCTGCTTCCTAGCATTTATGCTCTTTTCTTGGCCCAGTTTGCCTTGATTTAAGACCAGTCAGATGGTGAGAGCATGCATCCTTCATGTTGTAAGCTCTACTATCTGCATACATGTTTGTTTCTCCCTAGTAGAATGTAAGCTCCTTGAGGTCAGGCAATGTTTTATTATTGTCTTTGTGTTCCTAGCATCTAGCACCATGCCCGGGTATGTAGAAGGTGCTTAAAAAAATGCTTATTGAATTGAATCGAATCTCTTTCTTCCTCTCATCTCTAGGCCTCATGTATTCCATATAAAAATGGGAATGGTAACATTGCCCCCACCCTGTTTCATAGGGATTTAGTGACAGTTATAACTCATTCATATATATGTATATATATGAATGTATATATGTGTATATAGGTATACACACATGTGTATATACTTATATGTATATACACGTGTGTATATATATGCATATGTGTATTGTGTGTATGTGTACATATAATCTATATATAATCTCTATATAGATGTCTAATACTGGAGCAAAATCCTACTTCAGATATCCTTGGGACACTAGATATTCATGGCATTTGTGGTATAGGAGTACTGACTAGGACCTAAGAGATCTGAATTTTAACTCCAATATTACCAGTTTATATGACCTTGGACAAGTCATTTCCCTTTCTGGGCCTCTGTTTCCTTTTTTTGCCTTCCTCACCTCAAGTGAGTTGTGGGAATCAAAGAGAGATGAAAATGCCTTTTATATCTTAAAACTGTACTCTTGATTTCATAAAAAATTTAGAGCTAAAAGGGCTTGTAGACCATAGAATTCCAGAGCTGGGAGGTCTGTAGAGTTTCAGAGGCAGAAAAGGCCTCAGAAACTATCTGGTCTGACCCCCAGAACCCAGAGAGGACAAAATTGAGAGGTGGGGGGAAGTGACTTGTCAAAGGTCCCCTCAGTCCCAACCTTCCCTCCTACCTCCTCATAGAGCAAGCTGAGCCCCTGCCCCTCCAGATCCTTTCTCCCATTCTCTCCTTTCCTTCCTCATGCCCTGCCCATGTTTCTTTTGGTTGCTTCTGCTGTGTGCTGGCATCTGGCAGATGATGATGCTTTGGGCTGTTTCTCTTTCTGTTCTGTCCCTTTTGCTATCCTATCATCATCATTCTGCTTCTTTTCTTTTTCTGTTCTTCCTTTTTTTTCTTCCTCCTGCTCCCCTGTTGTCTATCGGGATTCCCTGTGCTCCAGCCAGACCTGGTTCACATTCAGATGGCTCCAAAGGTATTTCTCTCCTCCCCCTCCCACCCCCATCCTGGGGAACTGCCTTCCAAGGGCGCCTGGCTGGGGCTGGGGCTGGGGCCGGGACCTGGGCTGGGGCTGGGGCTGGGACACGGCACCAGGCAAAGAGCAGCAGCTGGATTTGCTGGGTAAACTAGTAACTGAACAGTTAATTCATGTCGTCAATGGATGGCCATTCATTTAATGAGGGAGAGGGCTCTGCCCAAGTAGCCATGATGCCCCCTGGGGAAGAGGGGGGCAGGCCTGTAGTGATGAATCACAGCCTCTGAGTCAGGGTACAGGACAAGGTGAGGGTGGTGGCTGGGTTTGCAAAGCCAGGATCACAGGCATCTTCTTGTTTTTATAATTTCTTTCCTTCCCAGGGCATTGTGGTATAGTGGATACAGTGCTGGGCAGGGAGTCAGGAAGGCCTGGGTTCAAATCCTGATCCAGATACTAGCAGTGTGACCATGGTCAAGTCACTTGACCTCAGTAAGCCTCAGTTTCCTCATCTATAAAGTCAGAATTATCATAGCAACTACCTAACAAGTCTCTGTGAGGTACAACTGAAATCATATATGTAAAGCATTTTGTAAGCCTTAAAATACTATGTAAATGCGAGTTATTATTACTATTATTATTGGGTAATCCTGAGGCTCCAGAGAGTTGAGGTTGTCAGACCTCCACTCTCATCTTCCTATTTTGCTGGTGTGTGTACTGCAAAACTCTTCTCCTCTCCCATCTCTTCAAAGGGTGTGTGTGTGTTTGCTTGTGTTGTGTGTGTGCCAATGCCCCTTCAGGTGGGAATTTCCAAATTCCCTGCCAGAGAGCCAGTAAGAAGCCTCCCTCCCAGGAGATGGCCAGTTATGCCTGAGTCTGGGTCCTGTCCCTACAGGATGATGGCATCTGGAAAGGGATAACTTATAACCTGAAGAACTCTCCAAGTGTCCTGACTTAGGCCTGCACCAACCTCCCCTGGATAGGGAGCATGGAGAACTCAGGATATTTGGGATCTGGCTAAGGTGCCAATAAAACTGCTGTGGAAGAGCCAAGATTAGGAGTCAGGCCTCAGCGATTTGAACCCCAACTCCACCACTGACTTACTTTGGGACCCCAAGCAAGCGGTTTCCCCTTTCTTGGCTTCAGTTTCTTCCTGTACAGAAGGAGGGTGTGAATTTGAGGGTCCCTACCAACGATGATGGCCTCTGAGTACGGTCTTAGATCCATCCCCTGCTGGTGGCTTCTTACTGCAGCCCCCAGCTTCCCAAGCCAAAGAGCTGCTGTACCTTCCTCTGTAATAGTCACATCCTGCCTTCTCCTTTCGGGACCTAGGCAGCCACCTTGTACCCCATTGGGAATGAGGACTGGCCACTAGGGCTTCCATTTAGACAGTTGTGCAGCCCCTGCCTCTTTCAGGTGGATGAGGCAAAGTAAGACAGGCCTGGCTTCTCCTGATGTTTAGGGCGGAGGGCCCAGACCAGACCATATCTGTTCCCTTGGTCACCTCCCTGGCTTTCGGGATAACTTTATCTAATAGATCCTGGCTGAACCCAGAGCCTGGAGCAGCTGCATTTTGTGTTTCCTATAGCCATGTGACCTCAGGCAAGTTTTCTTTTCTCTCTCAGCTGCCATTTTCTCCTCTGTAAAATGGGGAGTGGAGGGCTTGACTTTCCTTGCAGTTCTGCCATTCTATGTTCCTGTCGGCCGGAGGGCAGCACTTTGGGGCCCAGAGAGAGTTCAGCATCACACCGAGAGCTTCCTGGACCTCCTTACTGACAGCTCCTCTTCTCCTTTCCTTCCCTTACTTCAGAGAGGGAGACTGGTGGCTGGCCCATTCACTCACCACTGGGCAGACTGGCTACATCCCCAGCAACTACGTAGCCCCATCTGATTCTATCCAGGCTGAGGAGTAAGTAGCAGCCCTGCCACCCCTCCCTCCCCACTCCAGCCCTCTCAGTGGGGATAGCTTCCCAATTGCCGCCCTGCTCCCTGTGCCTCCTCCTGTCCTTGCTTGGCTCATGTGGGCCTGTTCAGAGGAGCAGTGTTTGCCTTTCTAACTCAAGAGGGCATTTTGGTGTTAGAGGAAAAAGCAGCGGTCTAAGAATCAAAGACTTGATTTCAAGTCTCACTCCCACCGCTTCTGCAAGCCGTGTGATTCTGGGAAAGTCACTTCCCTCAGTTTCAGTTTGGTCATCTATGAAAAGGGAGATGATACCATCTGCCTCACTGGGCTGTGGCACTTGAAGCTTTGGGTAAAGCATAAAACCCTATAGAAATGAGCCCTATTTGTAACTAATTTGCTGCTCATCTCCACCAGGTCCTTAGGAAAAGAGACTCACTGGCATCAGATAAGGCAAGACTGCCTTTCCCAGAGGGCAGTGCTAGATATGGAATCAGAGGGCATGGGTTTGAATCCCTGCCCTGCTGCTTCCTGCCCAAAGGACCTTGGTCAAACCATCTGAACCTCAATTTCTCTATGTTTAAAATGGGAGTGGGTGGGTGAGATTGTACTAGAGACCACCTCTAGAGACTCTCTGTGGCCCTACATCCTAGCATCCTTTCAATGATGCTGGAGAGGGCCGACACAAACTTGGCTCCTTCTATCTTTTTTTTTTTAATTAAATTTGATTTTTTTTAGCAGCAAAAATCAGCAGTCTCTCTCTCCCTCCCTCCCTCTCCCTCCCTCCCCCTCCCATCCCAAATTAAGGTGGTACTTTGGCAAGATCACCCGTCGAGAGTCTGAGCGGCTGCTGCTTAATTCGGAGAATCCCCGAGGCACATTTCTGGTCCGGGAAAGTGAGACCACCAAAGGTATCCATCCCTTCCACTCCTTGCCCCTGGATCCTTGGACTAAAAGGGCACTGTAGGGAGGGCCTCAGCTTGGGATGGAGTCTTTAGAAACAACTTGTACCTAACTAAGCACCACCCATGTTAATCTAGAGGTCCCATCAACTCCCAGGGTCCTTGGGCTTGGGTTCTAGTACCCTAGGTTTAAGTCCCTGCTGTATCTCTAATTCATTCTGTGATTTGGACCAAGTCACTGGACTTCACTGGGCTTCATGGTTTTTTGTCTGTTAAATGGAAATAATACTTGCCCAACTTACCTCTCAGGGTCATAAATTAAAGGACAGAAATGAAGAGTTGGAAGGGACCTTAATGGCCATCTAGTCCAGCCTCTTTGTCAAAGGAATCCTCCCTGGAACATACCAGAAAAGTCTCTGCTTAAAGACTTCAAGAAGGAGGAACCTCCATTCCTCTTTTAGATAACAGAACATCTGGCGTCTGGTTGTTAGGAAGTTTCTCCTGCTATCCACTTCATTTTCTTTGCAATTCCTACCCTTGCTCCTTCTGGTTTGGCTTTCTGGGACCACACAGAAGAAGTCTCACCCTCTTCCACACTCCAAATACTGAAACAGGTTCAGCTGGGTGTTCCTCAAGTCTCTTGCAGGCTAAAACTCCCCAGCTCCTCATGGAGCATGGGCTCAAGACGCTTTACCATCCCGGTGGCTGCCCCTTCCCTGGATGCTTTCCAGCTTAGTCACACCCTCCCTGCCCAATGCCTCCCAGAACTGGACGAAGCCTTTCAGTTACAGGCTGTCCAGGGCAGAGCCAAACAGGCCTATCACCTCCTTATTCCTTAGGCTTCTCATTATGAGGCCCAGTGGTGCATTAGCTTTTCTTAGTGGCCACTCCACATGCCCAGTCACCTCCTATGGGGCTTGCAGGCCTCCTAAACCTTCTGCTCTTTTTCAACTCTGCTTTCCTCACATTGTCTTTGTGAAGTCAGTTTTAAAAGTAGAAGACTTTACATTTATCCCTTTTAAATTTCATCCCAGTGGATTCAGCTCAGTGTTCTAGACCAGGGGTCAGCAAACCACAGTCTGAGGGCCTCTTCCTGTTTTTGTATGGCCCATGAGCTAAGAATCTAAAAAAAATTTTTTTAAATACAGTAAAACTTTATTTTAAAATGTCAGAATTCTTAGCTTAGGGGCCATATAAAGACAAGCCACAGGCTAGATTTGGTTCTTAGGTCAGGCAGTGGTTTGCCAACCCCTGCTCTTACAGTGTTAGAATCTGCTTGGATCCTGACTCTCTTATCCAGTGTGTTAGCTATCTCTCCAGCTTTGTAACATCTTTGCATAAGATGAGCATGGCATCTCTGTTTCTATCTAAGTCACTGACAAAAATGTTCTAACACAGAGTCAAACAGATTCCAGTGGTACTCCACTGGAAACTTCCTTCCAAGCTGACATTGAATCATTGACCTACTCTTCATCCAGTTCTGAATCCATCTAATTGTATTATCATCTAGGCCAGTGGTTTCAAACCCAGATAGAAACAAATCTCTGTAGGGCACATTGGCTTAAAAACCATGAATTAAACATTATCTATGTTGTATTGTATTTTTATTTATTTTGTTCAACATTTCCCAATTATTTTTTAGTCTGGTTTGACACCTCTGAGCTAGCCTACATCTCTCCTTTTCCACCAGACTAGCATGAGATATTTTATCAAATAATTTGCAAAAATCTAGGTAAACTTTATCTACACGAATCTCCTGTTCTACCTGTCTCTGGTAACCCTGTCAAAAAAAAAAAAGGAAATAAATTTAATCTGGCATGATTATTCCTTCTTTAAAAAAAAAGTTTTATTGATGTCTTTTTTTTTACATCACCATAGTTTCTTTCATTTTTCCTCTGAGAGCTATTCCATATAGTAAATAGTATTTTTTAAGAAAAAAAGAGAAAAAATTAGCATAACTGACTAATATATTGAAAGTCTGATAATATGTGCAATGTGCAACATTTGAGGACCTCCCACCCCTGTAAAGGGGTGAAGTAGGAGCATTTTCTTACATCTATTACTTTTGAGTCATTCTTGTTCTTTATCCATTTTTCTAGATTTACTGTTGATTTGCATGTGTGTGTGCGTGGTTTTTCTTTCCATTTGTATTATTGTTGTCATTGTGTATATTGTTTTCTTAGCTCTGTTTACTCTGTATCAGTTCATGTAGATCTTTCCATCCTTCTCTGAATTCATCACATTCACATGATTTGTTCTTAATAAAGTCATACTGCTTCTCTGTGATTACTGTTCCTTTTCCAGATGTTTCCTACCCATTTCTTTAATAATCTATCATGGAACTTTGCCAGGAATTGAAGTCAAGTTGGAAGCCAATGGTTTTCAGAACTTATTCTCTTATTTGTTTTTTAATCAGTACATTAGCCCTTCTCCAATTCTGTAGTACCTCTCCCACTTTCTGCCGTATTTAAATAGTGTGCCAAACATGTGCACGCACTCGCGCGCGCGCACACACACACACACAAGCCTTTTTAGGGGTTAGGGGCACAGCCCCCACATGTAAAACTTTTTGGCCCTCCCTTCATACCAAAGAAGAAATCGGAATTTTTTCTTTTATTGGGTGTTTATTGTAAAAGTTGGGTTAAGCATTTGGTCATAGGCTCCATGTCACCTGCTGGCCTTTGCATGTCATCTGCAGCTCCCGCAAAACTCCTAAAAAATTCCCATTTAATTTCTCATGCCATCTGCAATATGTTGAAACCTCAGTGAGGAAAGTCGTGATGTGGAAGGGATAACTAATGCATATATTTGTACACAGCCATTGAGAGAATTTGTTTTGCTTGATTATGCATATTTCTTATGTGGAATTTGGTTTTCTTTCTTTTTTTTCCCAATGGGATGGGAGGAGAGAGGAGGAAAAACAGATTTCTGTTTGCTTAAAAAGCAGAGAGGTGGAGGGTGCTACAGATGTGGAAAGTTGCATACACTTTCAGATAAGGTCGCTGTATTATCAGTTTTGTTTTGTTACAAGTGATTTCTCACTGAATGGTGGTAAACCGTAAATGTAACTGGAAAACAAAACATCACTAAACCTTAAAACACACATAATAAACATCCCTGTTGGTGGCTCAGCAATCACATTCATCAACTAGGTGACCCATAAAGTTCCTTCTAACTCTGAATCTTAGGACTCATTATTTATCAATTCAGCAAAGATATATTAAGCACCTGTTGTGTTCCTTGACAGGTTGACCCCCAATAAACTACTGTGGATTGCTGTTGCCTCTAGGAGCAGATATAAAATGCTGTGTTTGGCATTCAAAGCCCTTTATTATCGAGCCCCCTCCTCCCTTCCCTGTCTTCTTACACCTTCCTCCCCAAAGTACTCTTCGATCCAGTGACGCTGGCCTCCTGGCTGTTTCACAAACAAGACACTCCATCTCTTGGCTGTAGGCATTCTTTCTGAGTGTCCCCTTGGCTGGAATGCTCTCCCTCCTCTGCTCTGACCACTGACATGCTTGGCTTCTTTTAAGTCCCAAATAAAATCCCACCTTCTATGGGAAGCCTTTCTTTAGACCTCTGTTAATTAGATGAAACAGCCCCTGCCCCTAGGAGCTTGTCTCTCGCCAGAGGGCTACAGTTTGCGCACAGATAAGTAAATGCAAGGTCATTTGAGGCGGGAGAGGATAGAGACCACTAGGATGATTAGGCAAGGCTTTAAAGGAGTTGAGACTCGATATAAGATGGGGATTCAGAGGGGCAGAGATGAGGAGGAAGTGCATTCCAGGCATGAGACAACCGGAGCACATTCATCACATGTGCATCTCTAAACCCCAGCTGGCCCAAGTTCCCCATGGTCCCCCAATGCTCTTTTATGGGGGAGGGGGCCCTGGTGATTAATGACTCTCTGTCATCCTTTTTCTGTGGTTACCACTGAAAGAGACAGCAGCTCTAATCTCCCCACCTCCTGAGCTGCAGCAAATCATCTCCGCCTCTTCTCTTCCTCCCCTCTCCCTCCTTCTCTATCACGTTGTTGTGGCCGCATTGATCTGTCCTTTGGAGGATGCCTGGCCCCTTCATTGTCTCCCTCAGCCAATCAGCAGAGCGTCAGGCTTCACGTGGGAAGCCAGTCCTGGCCCTGGCCCTGGCCCTGGCCCTGGCTCTAGCCTTTTCCCCAAGAGCTGTGTGGAAAGTGGGTCAGGAAGCTGGGAATAGCTGGGTAACCCATGACAACCGAGGACTCGGGCCTCCCCCTTCTGCAGAGCCTCTGGCACCCGGCGAGCTAGAGAGACAGAGAGAGCAGCCTGTATGGATGCTTGCACAGCTCAGGACCTGGGACTGCTGCTGACTTGCTCTGTGACTCTGCCCAAGCGCTGTTCCCTTCTTGGAGGTTACGGTTGGATTGGATGATTTCTGGGCCCTTTCCAGTTGTGAAGTTCTGTGCTCCAAGGATCCTCCCAGCTGTCACATGCAGTGTTTTGTTATAAGGTTCCCGCATTCTGTGTTAAGCAGGTGGCCAAGCCAGGCTCTGGGCTCGTTGGAGGAGACTGTATTCTCAAGAGCCCCTCCTCCAATGACCCAGAAACCCGTCTCCTACAAGTTTTGAACATTTCTCCCTGCCTCCTTCCCCCCAGACCCCCCCAGCTCCACTCTTTGCTTATTATGTGGACACAGAAATTAACCTTGGAATGGAATGTGACTGTGAACCAACGTGGCTGCACTAGCTATTTACCAAGCACTTCCCCGCCCCCGCCCCAGCCCACCCTGAGCGTTTTGTGGGGATGATGCATTCAGGCCACTGGAGTCCCGGCCTGGAAAGGCTGCTGCCTCCTCGGGGGAGGGAGGAGGAGGAGGTTACTGTTGCTTCCCCGAGGTAGAAGTGCAGGGGCCATTAGGCTGGTGGTATGTGGCCCTGAGCCTGGACTGGGGACAGGGGCAAGCATTTCTGGTTAATTTTTTACTCAGGCAGACCTGGGACTTCCTTACCAACTACCCAGGGGGATTTGTGTGGCTGCTGGGTGGGAGATGGGGGGTGGGGGTGGGCAGGACACTCACTAATTCTTCATCCTGCCCAGAGTAATGGTAATACTAATAGTCCTCATTTTGCTAAAGTAGTTTCTTCACCTCCCCTTTGTCCCCCAGGGTTGTTAGCATAAATATCATTATCCACATTTTACTGAGGAGCAGACTAGGCTGGGAGAGCTCATCACTTGCTCTTGGTTATAGAGTCACTCAGTTCCAGGTGCAGTGGTTCTAGAATCCAGGTCTCCAGGTCTAAAATCCAGCTCCATTTCAGCACCACTTCACTGCCTCCTAGATCTTGAACTGTTAATAGTAGGGAGCAGTGGACACTTCTTTTTTAAAAATGAATCTTACTGACTGCTTTTGCTTTAATATCACCTACATTTCCCATTCTATCCCTCCCGTTATGCCTTGCCTGAGAGTCGCTTAGGATAAAGAATAAGAAAAGAGAAAGAAAAAAAAAATCCACAAAAGAGACCAACATATCTAAAAAGTCTGACCTGATGATAATGCAGTATTCCACACCTGTGGTTTCCCCACCTCTGCAAAAAAGCAGGGGAAGGTGCAGGCCTCTCTTTTTAAAATGACTTGGGATTTTATACTTTCAGTGTGGGAAAGTTATCATTATTCCCATTTGACAGATGGGGAAGCTGAGGCTCAGGGAGGGGACGTGACACAGTGAGTTAGGGATAGAGCTGGGATGAGAACCCAGTTCTTCTGACTTCTGGCCTTGTGATCATTCCACTCAAAGCATCTGTTTATCAAGGGGACAAAATCCTAGCCATCTGATACAAAGGTTGTTAAGCCTGGAGTGGAGCGAGGGTCAAGGATGAGGATTTCCCTGCTTCCTGCACCCCTTCATTCCCTGGGGTTCCCCTGCTCCCAAGCTGTGGCTTTGGGTTGGGCCCGGCAGGTCCTCCATACTGTCAGGAGCAGTGTGACAGGTAAATCTCTAGAGTATCCTTACTCAGCGTTCCTGGTCTTGGCCACCGTCCAGTGCCTTGTCCTTTGTGTGCATAGAGACCCCCTGTCCCTTCTGGGAAAGAGGGCTCCCTTTCAGGATTCCTTCCTGGGGCCGCCCTCTCCAGCTGAGACCTCTAGTTGAGTGAAGAATGTGGTTCCTTTGCTGTCCTGAGGTGAGAAGGGGCCTGGGCTCCTTGGCAGAGGCCCTGCCTCTGTAACCTGTTTTCTCCTGGCTCTTTTTGTAGGTGCCTATTGCCTTTCTGTCTCTGACTTCGACAATGCCAAGGGCCTCAATGTGAAACATTACAAGATCCGCAAGCTGGACAGCGGAGGCTTCTACATCACCTCCCGCACACAGTTCAGCAGTCTGCAGCAGCTCGTGGCCTATTACTCCAGTATGTTTTTGTTGTGAGCTGGTCAGCTGTTCCAGGGGTAGGGACACAGGGATGGAGCAGTACCCCTGCTCTGCTCCCTTGGGCCTGGCAATGATGGAGTATGTTGTATGTGTGTGATGGGCATGGTGTCTTATCTTGGCAAGAGGAAGAAGTGGGGGTCCTTGGTGAAGACTGAGCTGTGGGTGAGCCAGAGATGGAGAAAGAAGCCAGAAGAACCTCCCCTGCATTGCAGAGATGCGGGCATCCTCCGGGGGTCAGCTGGCTAGACTCGTCCCTAGGAAGGCTGCTGCCGCTTAGGGGAGAAGCTGTGAACCTCCCTGTGTGGCTGTGTGGTTTCTTGCACATCTGCATATGTGTGTATGTTGTATCTGTATCTGTTTCTGTGTGCCTGAAGGCGTTTGTATATAGCTGCATGGGTGTGCATGGGCCTGTTTTTGTAGATTTGTATATGTATCTGTGGTCATCTTTGTACATTGGTATGTGCATGATTATGTTGGTTTGTATCTTCATGGGCACATGTATGTTGTTCTGCATAACTGCTTATAGATTCTGGAGGGTTTGTCATCTAACCAAGTATCTGCATGTCTTCAGGCAGACCTGTGTTTGTATGTATTGCCGTAGTAGTGTCTGCCTGCATGTATTTGTATATGCAGATACATCTGTGTGACTTTGCATACTTGTAAATCTGCATATGTTTTCATATCTGTGTCTGTTTTGGAAGCATGCCTACGTGTGTTTTTGTGCATGGGATGTGTGCTCTGTATCTGCTCTGTGTGTGTGTGTGAGTGTATGCGTGTATGTATGTGTGTGTGTATGTTTAGCAAGAGGTGGAAGAAGGAAGGTTCCCAGGACAAATAAACTTTCATCACTTCAGTCAAAATCTTGAAAAGCTAAGGAACAGAACGCAGGGTGTGGCCTACCTTGGAGTTTCTCTCTGATCAGTTGTCTGGCCTGTCCTACTTCCCTTTCTCCCCTTTACTCTTCCAGAACATGCTGATGGCTTGTGCCACAGACTCACCAACGTCTGCCCAACGTCCAAGCCACAGACCCAGGGCCTGGCTAAGGATGCCTGGGAGATCCCCCGGGAGTCCCTGCGGCTGGAAGTGAAACTGGGTCAGGGCTGCTTCGGAGAAGTGTGGATGGGTGAGAGCTCCCTCCTTCCTTGCTTCCCTTCCTCCTCTGTCTTCTGTCCTTCTTCTTCTCTTTACCTTTTTGTTCCTGATGCCAGCTGATCCTCCCTTCTGGCCTGGCCAACTTCCCCACCTAAGGCACAGGAAAAATACCTGAACCCTCCACCTCAGCTTGGAATGTATACATCATTTCTCCCCTGCTGCTCAGGCATATTGTTTGATCTTCTAATTAAGTCACTGCAGGTCAGTCAGCAAAGCTATATGAAGCCCCTACTGTTTGCTGGACCTGTAAGGGGACACCTTGTGTTGAGGTCAGAGAAGTCAGCTGGTCCCTGAAATGAAGGAAATTAAATCAAGAGCTGGCTGCGGAGATGAGACATGCACACAAGTATCTGGGCCCAGTCCTGTCAATCATATCAGGACCCCTCCTGGCCAGCTTCCCTTTACTCAAAGCTACCCCCCTTCATAGAGACCCAAAGTCCCTCTTGAGTAATCTTCCTAGATCATAGCTCTGATTGTGTCACTCCAAATGAACTGTTCCTTCTCCCGTCTCCCCCACAGCAATGACCACCAAGGTCTAAACTTCTTAGCCTGGCATTCAGTGCCTTTTACAATATGGCTCCATTCATCTATTCATTGAACACTTATTTGGCACATACTATGTGCAGAACACTGTGCTTGGCACTTGGGGAGAGGGGAGATACAAAGCTAAACTAAGACATGGCCTCCATCCTTTTGGTGTGACAGTCTGAAAAAGAATAAAAAAGTCTCTGTGCTGTAAAAATTTTTTTTTTAAATTAAAAGAAAAAAGGTGGGGGAGAGATAATATTCCACGCATAAGGAACAGCCTAAGCAAAATGGAACAGTTGAGAGTATATAGGGCATATTACAGGAGTAGAAAGGAGTCCAGTTAGGTTGGCTTTCAGAGGGGATGAATATGAAGTATGTGAAGGTCCTTGAATGGCAGGCAGAAGGGCCTGAACTTTCTCTGGAAGTCTATAAGGGAGTTACTGACAGTGTTTGAGCAGGAGAACGTTGTTGCAGCAGTCTACATGGGTAGTAATGAAGGCCTATACCAGCTAATTAATTTGCTCAGTTTTGTATGTGTTCAGTTTGATATGCCTGTGGGGTATCCAGATAGAGAAGTCATACAGTCAGTTGGAGGTGCATGTCTGGGATGCAAAAGAAAGGTCAGGACTGAAGAACTGGAAAATCTACCTTGAGATGTTGATAGCTGAAGTTATGGCAATGAATGAGATGGTAAAGGGAGAGGATGTAAGGAGAGAAGAGAGGAAAGACTCTTGAGGAAAACCAACCAATTAAGGGGTGAGGAAGAAGATGGGGAAGGAGCAAAGGAGACAGAGAAGCCGTTAGAGAAGTAAAAGAATGGTGGCTGTGAAACCCAGGGACAAGAGAAAGGAGTCAATAAGGGGGTGCCCAGCAGTATCAAGAGCTGCAGAGAGGGCAGAGAGGATAAGAATTGAAAAAGTGCCATTGGTCTGGAGGTCAGTGATGACTACAGAGAGTAATTTAGCAGACTGGTGAAGGTGGAAGCCTGGTTGCAAGGAGTTGAGGAAGTAGAGTTATTAGGTATAGACAATTTTTCTCATATGTTCAGCAGTGATGGGGAGGAAAGAAACGAATAGTAGTTGAATAGGATAGAAAGGTCAAAGGTCATTTTAAAAGGAATTGGAAAAGCTGAGCATGTTTGTAGGCAGCTTTGAAGGAGCCAGGAGAGGAGAGACTAAAGATGCCCAAGAGAGAAGGATGGCTGCCACAGGAGGCTTAAGGGAGGGATAGGATCAAGTGCCCATGATCAGAGGGTTACCGCCTCTTCTGTGACCAGAGGGAAGGAGAAGAGAGGGAGTGATAAGGCTGAAGTCTGAAGAGTAGAGGAGGGAAACTGATGGCTCTCACATAGGATGGATTCTATCTTCTCTGGGACCTTAGATCTGGTCCTGCATCTCTGACTACCTGCTTGACATCTCCACCCGGAGGTACCTCAGTCATCTCAACCTCAACGTGTCCAAACCCAAACTCCTATCTGCCCCCGTAAGCCCATACCTTCTTCTGACCTCCCTATCTCTGTTCATCCAGGTTTGAAACCCCAGAGTCAATCCTGACTCTTCATTCATTCTCCCTCTCCTCCATCCACTTCATGTATCTAATCAGTTGTTGGATCTCGTTGATTCCACCTTTTCAGTGTCTCTCAGCTCTCCTTTGCTGAGCAGATCAGGGTGGGCACCCTCTGGGGGGCACCTTTCCCTGAGCCCACCACTTCTCAACCCTCAGGGACCTGGAATGGCACCACCAGGGTGGCGATAAAGACCCTGAAGCCTGGCACTATGTCCCCAGAAGCCTTCTTGCAAGAAGCACAGGTCATGAAGAAGCTTCGGCATGAGAAGCTGGTACAGTTGTATGCTGTAGTGTCTGAGGAGCCCATCTACATCGTCACAGAATATATGAACAAGGGTGAGCTGCAGGGCAAGAGAGGAAGCCATAGGGCAGAGGGCTGGCCATGGGTCAGTTATGCTGGGTCTGACAGCAGTCTAGATGAACTGTGGGAGGCAGTGGGCCTGTGGAAAGGTGATTGATGGAGCAGTTGAAGAGAGGCAGTAGGCCTGGGTTTAGATCCTGGTTCTCACCCTACATTCAGTTATGTGATGTCAGACAAGTTCTTTCCTCAGTTTCCTCACTGGTCCATTTCTACCTTCAGTTTGCTTATTTGTAAAATGGTGATTGAACTTCCTTTTGGTTCTACATCCTATGATTTTAGGAGGGAATACAAGTAAATTCTGGATCTGGACAACTTAATAGATGACATTCATAGAACAGATTATTTTATATAAAAGATTCACCCCCTGCCCCCCAGATCTGAAATGAACAGTGAACCACGAGCTGGAACAAACTGTTTTCATTTGCTGCTCGACATGGGAATGTTTCATTGGGTTTTCAACTGAACAAAAGGCTCATTAAGAGAACATCTTGGGAGCCTGATTGGACCCGGCCCAGAGCTGCCTTGTGTGCCGACCCTGGGACCACATCAGAACGTCCTGACATTCTCCAGACTGGCAACCGAAGGCAGTCTCACCCATGTCCTAAGTTCCCCTGAAATCTCTTTAAAATAATGAGCACCCTCAGGGCACTCACTTGATTTTCATATTCCCTCTTGTAGAGTCTTGGGACACAAAGTCCAAAGGGATCTTAGAGATCCAACAGCCTCATTTTATGGAGGAGGAAGTTGAGGTTTCCACAGAAGTGACTTGCCCAAGGTCATGTGGCTGTTTAGTAGCCAAGCAGGGAATCAAACCCCGGTCTTCTGCCTTCTGACTTCCAGTGCCTTTTTCTATGACACCTGGGTTCAAATTACAGCACTGCTGCTTCCTAGCCATGTGGTCTTGTGGAAAAAACAATTTTCCATCTGGGGCCTTAGTTTTCCCATCAGCAACATGAGAGAGTTAGATGATCTCTGAGGTGCTTTCATTTCTAAATCCTATGAAACCTGTGGTATGAAAAGCAAGTTCCTCCCATTTTCTATTGAGGAGCCATGAGACTGACACCTCAAAAGTTACTCTCCATTAGGACTCCTTGTCCTGTGCCCCAACTGGCTTCGCTGTCCTATAGCCAAGGCTGGGGTACCTTTCTTTGGCATTGGGGGTGGATACTGGGATGGGGAGGCTTAGGGCCACCCCTGATTAGAACTATGCTTCTTCCTCCACAGGGAGTTTGCTGGACTTCCTTAAAGGTGACATGGGCAAGTATCTTCGGCTGCCCCAGCTGGTGGACATGGCTGCTCAGGTGAGCTCAAGGAGTAGTCCAGAGTCCTGTGCACCTAGACTTCTGGCTTATGTGTCCTCCCAAACACTGCCTCATATTTAAGGTTTAGCCCAGGTTCCCTCAGGCCATTCTAGCCCAGCATGTCTCCTCCTGTTCTATAAACTTGTAGGATTTATTGTCTGAGCCATCATTTGAATTGTGTCTTTAAAAAATTTGAGCTTGGCTGGGACTGCTGGGTTGGCTCATGGAAGAAGTCAGTGAACATGTTGATTGGTTGAGAGGCAGTGAGGTATTGCAGAAGGGATGGTCTTGGATTCAGAAGACCTGCCTTTCAGTCCTTGCTTTGCTGTTTCCTAGCTGAGTGACCTCTTCTCTCAACCTGAGTATCCACATCTCTAAAATGAGCATAATACTATTTACCTTGCCTCCCTAAGGGGGCTATTAAGTGCTGGATAAGGCTAAAAGTACTTTAGCTATGTGGACTATTGTAATTACTATTGATTCAAGCAATCCATCATTAAGTATGTATTAAGCACTTACTGACTGGATGGAAATCAAGGAACGATTAGTGTACTGGAGGGGATTCAGATATACCAGACCTGGTACCCATCCAAAGAGAACTTGCAGTCTAGCAAAAGGGTATACCCTTAGGAAGTGGTTAATGAAGACGAGGAGTAGTTGTGTGGGCCCAGAGCCTGAAGGTTGAGCCCCAGTTCTGCCACTGATGTGCGGCCAGTTGTTTCTTCTCTCTGGGGCTCAGCTTCTTCCATCTTTCAAATGAGGGTTTAGACTTGAGGATTTCAAAGGGCTTCGGGCAGTCATTTTATCTCCCTGGGCCTTACTTTCCTTCTCTGTGAACTATGGGGGTTGGACTAGGGATCTGTAAGGGCTCTTCTACCTCCAAATCCTGTAAGTAGGGAATGGAACATGTATGAGACCTGACCCTTCCCGGGATGGCCTGCCTTCTCTAGCTGCTCTTAGCTCTCTCCCTTTGCTGGGTTGGCTAATGGGGACCCAGCTGTTTGTTTTAAACTTCAAAACCTGCCTCCAGCTGGATGTGTGAATGAGCTCAGTGACTTGAGTCAGAAACTGAGAGGGGCCAGCACGGCCCCTGGTTAGGGCTCTCCCAGAAACATGGCTTTTACCTACAGATTGCATCTGGTATGGCTTACGTGGAAAGGATGAACTACGTCCACCGAGACCTCCGGGCTGCCAACATCCTGGTGGGAGAGAATCTGGTATGCAAGGTGGCAGACTTCGGGCTGGCTCGGCTTATTGAGGACAACGAGTACACCGCCAGACAAGGTATGCGGGCCCCACGGGCGAGGAAGTCGTCAGCAGGCTGGCGGAGCAGAGAGGACTGGGGTCAGCAGACCTAGAGGCTGCTTCGACTTCACTCAGTGCATGATCTCGGGCAACTCACTTGCCCACTTGGTTTCCTTCTTTACAAAATAGGAATAATGACACCTATCCAGTTTACCAGGAGATATTGACTTCAACTGAGGCAGTGGTCAGTGATGGTATCTTGGAGGAGGTGAGGTTTGGTCTGATTTTGAAGGAGAAGCAAAGAGATATGGATTAGCAGAGGTGGGGGAGGGGAATGGAAGGTTATGGCAGATGCAACAAATGTACCAGTGGGGAAGCAAGTTAGAGAGCCATGTAGCCCAGGGGATTTGGCATGGCTGTGGATAATTTAGCTCATGTCTTTGGGCCCATTTCCATCTTCAGAATGTGGGAGAGTTGGGCTAGATGATCTTTAAGGCCCTTGCCAACTTTAATTCCCTGCCTTACTAATAAATCCCTAACTCACCATGTGACGTCATGCCAGTCACATCATCTTATCTGTGAAATGAGGACAGAAACACATGCCCTCACCTACTGACCAGGGTAAGGGGTCTCGTGAAGACTGAATGAGATAAGGGACCTGAAAATGCTTTTAAAAGCACGAGCTCTGTTCCAAGCTGACGTGTGTACACCATCTGAGGCTAGTCATGATCTGGGGGGAAGAGCTGCTCTTGGGAACTATATTTGCCATCCTACTGTCAAGGAGCCATGGCATTCTAATGGAGAGAGACCTTACTGACACACATAGGTATAGATAAGATACAAGGTAACCTTAGAAAGGAAAGCACTAGCAACTGGGCTGGGGGCTGGGACAGGAAAGGTCCCCTGTGAAAGATAGTGCTTGAGCTGAGTGTTGAAGGAAACCAGCTATTCCAAGAGAGAAAGGGATGAGGGAAAGCATCCCAGGCTTGGGGAACAGCCACAGCAATGGCACCGAGACAGGAGAAGCTGCCCAATGGGCCAGGATAATTGAGCCCTAGGTGCAGGAAGGGGAATAATTTCTGAGAAGACTAGAGAGGTAGGAAGGAGCCGCATTATACAGAACTACAGATGCCAAACAGAGGACTTTGTACTTGATTCAGAAGGCGATAGGAAACCAATGGAGTTTACTGAATAAGGGAGGGAGGCAACATGGTTAAATCTGTGCTTTAAGAGAATCTCTTCAGTAGCTGGGTAGAGGATGCTTTGGAGAAGGGAGGGACTAGAAGCAGAGTCTAAGAGGCTATTGCCATAGTCCAGCTGATATATGATGAAGAATTGAACTACAGTGGTTGCTAGGTGGGTGAAGAGAAGGGGACATTTGCAAGAGATGTTGTGGAAAGAGAAATGATAAGATTTAGCAACTGTTTATATACCTGGGGTGAGGGAGTGAACAGTCAAGGAAGCTGTGGAGGGGCTACCCTGGGAGGAAGCTTGGGCTAGATGCCGTTTGATGCCCCTTTCAACTATGAACATGTGATTCTGTAACATCTGTGTAGCCAGGAAGTCCTTAGCCTAGGTCCCCCTAGGGACAGAGCGGCTTCTCTTTCCTCCCTGACACACCTTTCTCCTTTAGGTGCCAAATTTCCTATCAAATGGACAGCTCCAGAAGCTGCCCTATATGGCCGATTTACCATCAAATCTGACGTGTGGTCCTTTGGAATCCTGCTGACTGAGCTGACAACCAAGGGTCGAGTGCCCTACCCAGGTAAATACAGAGTGCAGGGTTCTGGGTGGGTGTCAGCAGGACTACCAAAAGGGACCGCCCAGTTGGTAGGTACCTCCAGGACCAGCATGCAGCCAAAAATGAACAGGTACAATTCATCTTGTGTATCCGTGCTCTTGGTTGACCTGGCTTTTCTGGTCACATAATTCCCCTTATGCTTCTCCCACTGAGAAGTTACTTCTGGCACTCTTCTTGCTAACTTAGAAAAGTAATGAGTAAGAACAAGTTAGAACATAATCTTTCATGAAGGAACTTGCATTTTTACAAGTGGCAATGCCTTAACCTAAGGAACAAGTGAAAACCAAATGGTGGAATTATAGGCACAGACAAGAACATGGGTAGAGGTCAGGAAGAAACTGCCCAGTGACTTTTATATACCAAATTGTCCTGAATATGGGCTCCACCTAGGTATGGATGGCAACACCTCACTTCCAACCCCCCCCCAAAAAAAAGGTCTTTTTGAGAAGAAAAAAAACCCTAGATATACTTTAGGGAACCCACGATTTCAATGAAGTGCGTGTTCTCTTCATTGACATAGCTTTGTAGATAGTCTTCATGGGTGGCTATGGACAGAAAAATGTATCCCCTAGTGGTCAACATTGAAAAAATAATTGTTATTATGAAAGTTGCAGAGATAGATGGTTGAGAAAGGGCTGGGAGCTGTGTATACTTGGTCTGGAGTAGTCTCTACCAGGCATCACTGGCAAATTCTCAGGCCAAAGGGGGAAAAAATCACCAGGAAGGGAAATGAGACCCCAACATCCAGTTGTCACTAGGTTAGTGGCAGATAGATAAAAACCAACTGGAGTAAGATTATTGACCATCCTCATGTTTTCTACATGCCCTTTTTGAGGAAGAAAGTGTGGCCTGTATTCAGAACAATAAGGTGAATGCCTGAGACCAGCCCTATCATCAGCTGTGGGCTCCCCCTCCTCATCAGGCCGGAGCAGCCTAGAAGGCACTGAGGAAGGATGGCTTGGTTCTGGGGGTGCCTACAGACAGGGGTTGTGTCCCGGGAAGAACCCGAGGCAATCAAGAGGATGATGTGGCATCCAGAGTGACACTGTCATACAGGCCTGATGTCCCAGATGAGGGAGGTGATGATCCCTCTGTCTTGTGTCTGGGTCAGAGCACATTGGGAATTTTGTATTCAGATTTGGACACCAGATCTTAGGAAGGATGTTAGCAGGTTTGAAGAACGTTCAGGGCAAAATGGTAAAGACGGTGAGGAAACTGGAGATCATGTTATAAAAGACCCTAGGGGTGTTTGGCTTGGAGAAGGAAAACTTTGTGGTTATCTTTATCTTCAAGTACTTGAAGGGCTGTCCTGTAGAAGGGGGAGTAGACTTGGTTTGCTTGGCCCCAGAAGGCAGGACTAGGCTGGATGACGGCACATGCCGCAGAGTAGAATCCTTTCAGATAGGGACGTTTGCTCTAGAGGCGTCTGTGATTTCACCTCTGTGATTCTAATGGACTCAGTGTCTAGAAGAAAGGAGAGGGCATCCCTCTCCTGCCCTTCTGCCCCCTTCAGTTTTCCTCCTCTCACCCTTGCCCACAGGGATGGTGAACCGGGAGGTGCTGGACCAGGTTGAGCGGGGATACCGGATGCCCTGCCCACCAGAGTGCCCTGAATCCCTGCATGACCTCATGTGCCAGTGCTGGCGAAAGGACCCCGAAGAACGACCCACCTTTGAATACCTCCAAGCATTCCTGGAGGACTACTTCACATCCACAGAGCCCCAATATCAGCCTGGGGAGAACCTATAGAGTTGGGCTGGGGCCCTGGTGCCAAAGACTCCCTCTTGTCCCTCAGGATTGCCCTGAGGGCTTGCTGGGCCAGAGGCCTATCCAGCTGAGACCATGGTGCTGTAGCTATGGTGGGCTCTTCCCAGAGCTTGGGCAATGGGCCACTTCTTCCCCCCTTGCCTGGCCAAAGGGACTTGGTCACCCCCTCCCTGCCAACAGTTTGTTGATGATGATTTTGTCCTTGAGGTGAGCAGCAGTGAGGTGGTGGCCCCAGAGCTGCCAGTTATGGAGCTGAAAGGCTGAATGTCTAAGCCTTAGGCCTACTCTGCCATGGGCGTTCCAGCTCCTAGCCTCCCTCTGCTCATTGGGAGGATGGAGGGACCAGATTCTTGGAGCAGCAGATCTCAGCACTGAAGGTCAACGTGGGCACTGAAGACCCCTTTCCCTTCCTTAACTGTCCTTTGTCACTCACTCCCTCCTCCCCCAAAAAAACCATGTTACCTTTCCTGGGCTAACTGCCTTGTCTGGTGTTACCAGCCAGTACAACAACAGGTTCTTATGGAAAAAAAGAGCTTGGGGCGTTTCTTGGGTGGATTAGGGATGTTCAGAGCCGTTTCTGCTCACAGCTGAGCCACATCTAGCTCAGCCCAAAGGGCCTGGAGCCTGCCCAGACAAGGGCAAGGCCCATATCTGGCTCAGTGTGAATCAGGTTGCAGATATCAGTCTTCCAGTCCCTGTCTCCAGTCTAGTCTCCTTCCTTCAACAGTTAACACCACAGGACTTGTCCGTTAGAAAATCACGATGAAGATATCTTCTTAACATTTTCTGGGACCTCATGTTGAGGACTTTCCTCTTCTCCTTGAAACTGGTCGAACATTTCTAATGAATGCTTTCTCTGAGATCACTCCCATTTAATGTTTGGCTGTGGTCGGCTCAGTGTTTAGGCCTAGTACCTATCAAACCCTTTCCCCCACCTCCTGTTGCTGATTTATTTATTCCCAGCTTCTTGCTCCTGAGCTGTCCAAAGATCCCCTTTTCCAAGGCGAAGAGCCACCTCTCACCCAGGGGTCCTCCAGGGCTGCAGGGCTCATTCCTTTCCCTCACCCTTCACTCATACACTCTTCCCTGTCAATCCATGGGGGTAAGAGGTCTTGCAGCCCCTAGCCACTGTGCTTGCAACCCCTTTGCGTTAGAGTTGACCTTTTATCCCCATGAGGGACTAAATCTTACAGAGCTCTAAGGGCATGTTGGAGGACCCAACCCATCACAGCTTCACTCTTCACTTTCTCATAGATCAGCAGCAGGTCCTGATCCTTTGGGGCTGCAGGCTTTACAATGACTTCCTTCAAATCTTCCTTCCCTTGTTCCAGACCAGTGCAGTGTCTCCAGGGCTCTACATGGGATGCCCACTGAGCACTGGGCTCCATCATTAAAGGCTGGTATAGAATCCTCACTTGATCCCTCCCATGCTTTCCACTCCTTCCCCCTCCTCAAGAATGTTCTTCCTCCAGGGTGGGGCTTCTAGGGCTTCTAATTTGGGGAGGAAGGAGGTGGAATAGGGGAAGAACCAGAAAAGTCAGGACAGAGCTAGGGACTGGTCAGCAGCCGTTAGTGGTCTAAGTCCATCACAGTTCTCTTCCTTTTCTGAACTCAGTCCCTGTTATCCTTAAAGATTTATTATTTGTTTTTCCAATTCTGACCAGGTGACTTCAGGCTCTAAAGACATCAACTAGTCTAATGACCCCATTTTACAGGGGATGAAACAGGCCCAGCAGAGGGAAAAGAACTTTTCCCTCACAGTGAATTAGCGAATTAGTGGCAGGAGTGGGGACTTGAGAATCCTGAAACATGACAACAGCTGGAGAATCTGACAGCTTAAAACCTGTTTCCAAAGCTGAGAACATGATGGTCTTTGTTCCGGGGAGATGGGAACAGAAGCAGTGACCAAGATGACCAGCAACACCCTCACCCCTTCCAAGGTGGTGCACCCCAGACCATTCTTAGCACCAAATGACCAAATGTGCTGGTTGAGAGGGAAAACCCAATATGGCCACAGAGAAATCGGGGGAGGGGGAGAGGGTTTGGTGTCTTTTTTTTTTTTTGGTGGTGGTGGGGGAGTTTCATAGTCTCCAAGTTGGAAGTGACCTTAGAAGTTCTACAGTCCAACCCCCTGTCAGTATCCCTGATGGGATTATCCAGCCTCTGCTTGGAAACCAATGACAGGAAACTTGCTCCCTTTAAAATAATTTAAATGTGCCAAGAGAACTTGGACCTGCTCCTCCAACTCATGAGGCAGGAGAAAAGTGGTGGGGCCTGGTAGAAGGAATCTAAAATCTGGTGACAGAAACAACTGTCAAAGATAAGGAACCTGGCCCTAGAGTCTTTCCTGGGTCAGAACACTGCCTGACAGGGGCCTGGCATTTCTTATAGACCCTGAAGGCTCACAGCCATTTTTGGCTAGGTCTTCCTCATTCCTATCCCTCCTTTACCCTCACCCCCACCCCTAACCTCCCATCTTCAACCTTGTCTTTCAAGCACAGACCCTGACAAGGTTGTTAATGCTGATGGCAACAGGGATGGAGGGAGCAGCATTTCCTCAGAAACTTAACTTTGCAAAAGAGGTCCTCAAAAGGTCGGGAAGCCAAGGTTGGCGTGTGTGTGTGTATGTGGGTGCATGTGTGTAGCTGTGTGTCCATATTTAACATGTAAAAAATCCTTTGGGGAACATTGTACATTACCTTTTTCCTATTCCACATCCCCCAGTGATAGGCCCAGTCTGTCATCCCTCCCACCTCTCAGTAGTATAGCAATAATGACCACAGGCACCCTGGGGTTCACTTGCCCAGTGCTGGGTCAGCCCAGTGCCTGGGGCTGCCACACCTGGGGCTAATCTCTCCAATCTCTGCACCAATTAGCTGAGAATGCAGGCTCAGGCCCAGGGAGCCCCAGGAAGAGGTGGCTGGGATTCCTTGTGCCAACCAGGCCTTGCCTATAAGGAAGGGCACTGGTGATGGCCTCCCTAGATGCCTCAGGCAGTTCTGAGGGTTTCACCACTTCCATTCTTCAACCTCCCCTCCCTCACGCCCAGCCAATAAAGAGGTAATTTGTTACCTAATGAAACTGTACCATAATGATTGCTGTCACTGTCTGGATGCTCTTTAGCATTCCTGTCCTTCTGAAGAACTCAGTCCCTTGCTACAAGAGGTTCTGAAGCTGTCATTTTTTAAAACAGTGTTTTGTAAATTCCAGATGACTATGCAGAGGCCTTGGGGTCTCTCGCCCTCACCCTGGTTTGGCTATGCGTAGCATTCAGCCTTGGTGGGGGGCGGGGAGGGAGGAATGTTTTGAGAATTGCAAAAAGGTGGTTTGTAAATACTTTGCATTTTGTCTGATTAAACACAAACAGACCTCACTGGTGCAAGAAAGTGTATTTATGTGTGGGGGGGGGAGAAGAGGGCATGTGTACCTCTGTAGGAATGTTTGTGCACGTTTGTATATATGTTGCCTCCACCATCAGTCATCCTCTCTGATACCTCACTGTGATGACCCTGGGTTATCAGAGGCCATACCAGCTCATCCAAAGCTTCTGCGGGCCCCACCAAACAGAAAAGTCTTTAAATAAGGGTTTGGTTGTTATCTGAGCACTGGCCTGATTAAGTTCAAAGGCACCTCCAAGGTGGCTACAGCATCTCATGAAAACATCCCTGTGCCCTGAGATCTGCATCAGGGTAAGAGGATGAGAGGCTGATGAAATCACAGATCCTTAAACATATCAAAGGTTACTGTGCATAAGAGTGCACCAGATGGCACAATGGATGCAGCACCAGCCTGGATTCAGGAAGACCTGAGTTCAAATCTGGCCTCAGACCCTTGACACTTACTAGCTGTGTGACCCTGGGCAGGTCACTTCACCCCACTACATCGAGAGAAAAAAAAAGAGTACGCACCAAGCTCACATGTACACAGTACCTTTGTGCCCACACATTACCTGTGTGTTCACTGTAATTTGGTTTTAAGACTCAGAACGTCAGAAGTCGAAGTCCCAAACTTTTCAGGGGGAAGTTGTGAGCTGTCTTCAGGCCTGTCCTATGAAGAAGGTCAAGCTGCCAGGCCAGGTCTTCTCCTTGACAGGTGGAGCTCTTAGCCTGAAGAATGCCTCATCTCTGGTGCCTTCTTCTCTCCCTTGCTCCATAGCCTTTTCAGCTCTGGCTGCCAGGAGGTTTATAATAGAAGGGGTGGGGAGGGAAGGGTGAGTTTTTCAGTGAGGCACTTAACTCCAACAGCCAAAGAGAATGTCTAAAATTGAGGTCCTAGCAGGGGATCAGCCAGGGGTGGGGAACCTGCGGCCTCAAGGCCACACGTAGCCCTCTAGGTCCTTGGGTCCGGCCTTCTGACTGAGTCCAGCTTTACAGAACAAATCTTTTTATTAAGGTTTTTCTTGAAGTCTGGATTCAGTCAAAGGGCCACACCTGAGGACCTAGAGGGCCACATTTGGCCTCGAGGCCGCAGGCTGCCCACCCCTGGCTGGTCCCCTGCCAGGGCCTAGTCATTACGGAGCTTCCTCTCCAGGCCTTCCTGGGCTGAGCACCTCTGATTCTTACTTCTTTTTCCCTCTCCCCATTCCTTCTGAGTCCTCATATCTTCTTGTTCCCCTTAATCTTCCTTCTCCGTGGCTTCCTATTTCCCATTTCTCTTCCCAGACAAGCTGATAATGGGAAAGCCCATGATGGAGACGCAGACAAGGCTAGGACTGAGGCAGGGTTCAACCAGTTCACGGAGAGGCTTTTATTAAGAACTTACTGCATACTGAGACTGTTGCTGTGAAAGCAAAACATGGACACATGGACACAAGGCCACAGCACAACAGTCATACAAAGCCACTGATTCTCACCAGCAAAAACTCCACGTGACCAAAGCCTGGGTTTGGGGGCCCTTGTCCTCATTACTGAAAAGAGGATAGTGTTTAACATCACGACCATGAGAGTCATTTCGCTCCTTTGTTCCTTCCAGTTTGGGCTGTAAAAAGTGGATAATTAATACTGGCCTCCGTGTCTCATGTAGAGAAGGGTAGCTTGGTACAGTAACAAGAGCAACGGCACCAGTGTCAAAGGACCTGGGGTAAAATACCCCCTCTCACGACAGCCTCAGAAAGGTCATTCAACCTTCAGTTCCCTCACCTACAAAATGGGCGAGTTGGACTAGTCCCTTGCTACATGAAAGACGGGGAACTCTAAGGTCCCCTCTAGAGCTATGATTCTATTACCCTTTTTGGGGGCTATATGGATGTGCCCAGGATAACTGGTTCTCCTCCCCTCCCATCCTGTGGTGCCCCCTAGTGGGGGCTATTTGAATTCAACAGACAAAAGTTATTTCTCCTACCAGCCACATGTCTACAGCACCCTGAGAAAAGTGTATAAGCTTTGTCTGAAAGACACAGAGCCCAGGAGAGGATTCATAGTGAGACCTTACGAAGTCTTGAGTCCAGAAGTTTGAAGGTCAGGGATAAAGGAAGCCCAGCTATGACAAATTGAGGGCAAAGAGCAACAAATGGGAATAGAGACCTGGATCCTACTCTAAGCACTGCTGCTAACTAGTGATGTGACCTTAGACAAATCACTTTTCTCTGGGCCTCAATTTCTCCTCTGTACTGTATGGTCCATAAGAGCCCTGGCATCTGCAATGGTAAATAGGGTCCTTCTGCCTCCCCTCCTCTCCATACAATTTCTTGACTGGGGTTGCATTCCGGTACTACACATGATTCCCCTCTGCTACCCCCATTTAAAGTCATAAAAATCAATGGGATTGTAAGGAGTCTACAAATCACTTAAGAATCCACAGACCAAAGTTTATAAAGCTTTAATTAAACATTTTAAACAGCTGTGCAATTGAGCCAACCAAAAATAAAACAATGTTTTAACCAGCAGCCCTTAAATTTCAAAAATGTTGCTGTTAGGTCCAATTCCCCAGGTGACAAGCACCAAGTTCAGTCCTCTGCCCAGGTCACCTCCCACTCCTCAGTCAATCCAAGGGATGATGAGTGAGTGCAGACTGGAAGCACACTAAGAAAAACAAGGAAGTCTTCTTCCTGGGTATTTCTTTATACCACGGAATCTTTGAAGAGACAAAGCCTAGGGGTCCCAGCAGGGAATGGAAGTGGCCACTTCTTCTCACCTCTCCCGAGTTGTTCCATTCAGGCCAATGTGTTCTAGCGCTTGTGTCCTTTTCAATAATCTCCACCATTATACAGATGTCAACTGTGCTAGTGATAAATTCCTAATTCAGATACACAACATACATTCTTCCCAGCTAATAAAAACAAGATAATCTCCCAAGCAAAACCACTGGCTGCTCATCACCATTGTGAAAGCACAGACCTGTTCTCCAACCAAGTGATGTGGGAATCAGCAGATTTAAAGGAATTGGGACAAAGATAAAAAAAACCCAACAGCTCGTAGTACCGCCCCTAAGAAATGAGAACCCTGTAAACTCTAGAAATTGGAGAGGGATGTGGCACTGTGGGGGAAGACATGTTCTGATACCCAGGAACTATTGCAAGAGTGACATTGTTTCTTTCAGAAAAAGAAACAGGAGAGTTCAATGTGGACAGCACTGAAATGCCAAAACACATTTCATTCTAGCCTACTGAGCAGGAAGCTGAAGCTCCCAGGTGCCAGTGGCTTCAGTGAAGAGCTGGGGTTTCTGCAATTATGAGACCTGTGTTGACAATAACTCAACTGGCCCAATGGGCAATATAAGGCTGAGAGGTTGAGAGAAGGAAACTAATTGCACTCCAGACAAGGTTCAGCTAGGTAAAACCAAGATGTGAATTCTGCTGCCACATAGTGGAGCTCCCTGGATCAGCAGAATTGGGCTGGCCATGTTGGGTCGGGTCCCCTGGCAGGATCTGAGATGAAAGGGTGATCATCCAGTCAGTGAGGTGTAGGAATGAAGGCAGGAAACAAAAACAGCAACAACCACTGACCGCTGCTGGGCTTCAAACCAAAAGTACCAGGTGGTGCTGTCGTTCACATCGTCAAAAACTGCAAGTGACATCACAGGTGAAGGATGCCCAATCAGGAATGTACTAATCTAATCTACACAGATGTGCAGGAAGCCTGTGATCAATCATATTGTGAACATCCTTTACTCTTGGGTTCTCATCTTTAAAGCCAATCAATTAGCAGCACGTGAGGATCCTAAGTCCCCACTATCCTGGGATCATGAGCTGATTCAGGGAGGTGGGAGCCAGTGCAGTGATATAAGAAACAGTTTCCCCAACAGCTGTAACAGATAAGGAACAAGGCTGCCAGGAAGACCAAGGCACAGATTGTGCATGGCTTCCGCTCCAGGAGGAAGCTCAGAAGGTAGAAGCCCATGAACATCGAATGACTGAACCAGAGAGCTGGGTTGAGGGGCTTTGGGATGAGCAGGACAGGCAGTAACCACTGAAGGCAGTACATGGTGTCTGTTGGGCAGGGGAGGAGAGGCACAGGGCCCACAACAGCAAGTGAACTCTATCTGCTTCTTTGATTTTGTTTCCACTCAATTCTCAACGGCTTCTCCAATGTGTTAACGAGCACCAAGTTGTCCCGTATTCTGAAAATATAACTTAAAAGAAAAAAACAAAACACTTATGGGGGGGAGGGCAATTAGTTCAACATCATGAACAATAAAAGTATGTACTTGTAGTTCTGTGAACTAGAGACTGCAATCATACTTAACTTTACTCAGGGACCAAATCCCATGAAATCCACCACAAATTACAGAAAAGGTTTTCTTGTAAACATTTTTTTCTAAGTTGACATGACTTAAGATGGCAAATGGAGTCACTATTTGAGCTTATGTACCGTGTACTCAGAAACCCTTTAATCACATTCCACATCTGTCAATACTGGATAACTCCTTTGAAAGTTATCATGGAAAAACTGGATAGTAGCTAGACAGAGACAATGCTGAGCAGCAAAGTCAAAACAAATTTTGCTTCAGTCAGTTCACTCCTCTTCCCAGGTAATCAAGGAGGTAACAGGAAAACTCCCCCACCAGCCAAAGATGGTTTCTCTCAAGCACCAAATTCCCTAGATGTTACCTGCCTTCACGACTTCAAGAGGATCAAACAGGTTCAGTCAGGCTCAGGCTCTGGGCTCCAGTAGTGTATAATCTTACACATAAATATAATAGAAAATAAAGTAAGCACCAGTAGTCCTTTGAACTGGCACCTCACCCCTGTCCTGTTTGTCACAGACAGATTAATGTGTATTATCTATATGTTGGGCTTTAATTTATTTTGTTAATTACATTTTCATCTGGTTTGGGCTCTATGTGTGACACTCTACTCTACTCCATGCTGCCTCTGACGTTCTTCTGAATAGCTGGTAGTTCCTTCAGATGTCTACTGATCAAGTATATAAAGCA